TAGGATGGGGCAGCAGTAAGATCGGTACTGAAGTTACATCAGAGAGGGAAGTGGATTAATAGGCAAATGGAAGGGGCATTTGTAAGGCTCTCATTTACTCAGGAGAGTGAGCTAAGTGTTCAGTGCTACAGAACAACCTGCTAAAGGTCGGTAAGCACTGCTGTCTGGTATTGAGCATGCTCAGCACTTGGCTAACTACAGATACTCCTTGACTGACCATGAGTTTAATCCCAGCAAACACATTGCAAGTTACAGCATAAGTGAAGAATGTAGATGCGACACCTAACTCTCAGAGCAGACGAGCCCCGCCTACCGGGACCATGCCTGGGACACTTCCCTTAGCCAGCAGTTGAACAGCGGCATCCAACACACAGCCTACTGCACAATAGATTGTTGAGTATCTTGTGCAATTTATTGAATACCCGTATTCACAAAATGCTGTCCACATGGTTCGCTGTTGAGTGCTAGTCACTTCTCTCGTGATGGCATAGCCAGCTGGAGACTGTGGCTTGCCGCCTTGCCCAGACTGTACCACACGTTGCAGGCCAGAAAAGCATCACAAGTGAAGTAGGTTTCTCCTGCGTGCGTTCACCACAAGCAGAAACTCATTTATACACATAACCTCAGCCATTTCAAGAAGGACAGTTGTTCCAGCCCCACTTTCAGGACAAAACAGCAAAAGAGTTAGAGAAGAAACTTCTACATATTTCAGCCCAAGCAGTCTGTGTGCACGCTGTGTTAACCATCCCATGATTTTGACTATAAAGTGGGAATGTCAACTGTGAATGCGTTCCGCCCTGCTTGAGTGGGAGGTGGAAGGCGGGTACAGAGGGAGCTAGGAAATCACACTGTCCCAGTTTGCCTGCCCTAAGTCCCAGGGGTATAGGCTGGTGCCCAGAGCCCCTCCTGACTCGTGAGCCAGTCCAGGCAACCAGACAGATGCACTGCTTCCTGGGGACCTGTGACTATATCAGGGCCCCAGGAAGGGTTTCCCATAGCTCTGGCCAGCATGCACTGTCCTGGCTCTGCCCTCTTCTACATGCTCCGAGCTCCTGGGTAACTTGCACAGGGCAGATAGTTTAACTGATCCTGCTTGGCTACCTGAAAGCTCTGTGACAAAAAGGAATTGGACTTTGGCCTTATTAAGTCACGTGAAACACTAGTGGCTACAATTGCAGCTCCATGGTGCAAAGTGCCCTGTCATCAATCTCTACATGCGTTCATGTGTGCACACTATTTGGAGGAGGTTTTTTTGCCCTTGCCCCGGAAAATTTGATGGAATGCCTTTTATTTTTAAAACTGTAGATTCTTACTTTTCCATGCATAGGATGCTGTTTTGTGGACTTTCTTGTACAAAGAACCTCTCTCTGCTTTTATCAAAAGAAGCAGTCTCTTTTCTGGGGCATGTTCTGATAGGTTGACTTGCCCATTTGTCATTTAGCGTCTTTCCTGTGGTCAGGAACAGTGTCAGCACTGGGAAAACAGGCATGTCCTGCTGCCCTCAGGACACTCGCATTCTTGTGAGGAGACAAATACATAAATAAGTCAATTAATAAGATGGTTTCAGACCCTCGAAGATTGTGGTAAAGGGTGAGAAGGAGGGAGAATGCCCAGCTCCACTGAGATACAGTTCATCTCTCATGCAATTCACTCATTTTAAATGTACACTTAAACATCCTTTTAATAATTCTCTGGGTTGTGCAAGCAGCACTGGGTTCTAATTTTAGGAGATGTTTGTCCCACCAGAAGAATCCCCAATCCAGTCAGCTGTCACGCTCCCTCCTACCCTCCCCCCATAGTCTTACACAACCACCATTCTACTTTCTGTCTCTATAGATCTACTATCCTGGACATTTCAGATAAAATAAATCATACAATATGTGGTCTTTTGTGACTAGCATCCATCACTTAGCATAATGTCTTCAAGATTCATCCATGTTGTGGCATGAGTCAGTGCTTCATTTCCTTCTTATTACTGAATAATATCCCATTATATATACATAGCTTGTTTTATTTATTCATTTATGGACATTTGGACATTTGTGTTGTTTCTACCTTTTGGTTCTTACGAAAAATGCTGCTGTGGACTTTCTTGTACAAATCTGTGAATATAAGTTTTCATTTCTCCTGGGCATATGCTTAGGAGTAGAATTGCTGGGTCAGCGGGGTGCAGTGGCACATACCTGTGATCCCATTGGCTCAGGAGGCTGAAGCAGGAAGATCACGAGTTCAAAGCCAACCTCAGCAACTTGTTGAGGCCCTAAGCAACTCAGTGGGACCCTGCCTCTAAATAAAATATTTAAAAGGGCTGGGGTTATGGCTCAGTGGTTGAGTACCCCTATGTTCAATTCCTGGTGCCAAAAAAAAGAATTGCTGGGTATTATGTGAGGAGCTTTCAGGTGACCCCAAAGCAGCTGCACCATCTTACACACCCACCAACAATGTCTGGGGCTACCAGTTTCTCCAGTCCTCACCAATGCTTGGCATTGTCTTTGTCTTTTTTATTATACCTGGTGTGAGGTGGTAACTTACTGTGGTTTTACAATTTACAATTCCCTAAGGAACCGTGGTGTTGACCATCTTCCCATGTGCTCATTGCCCAGTTGTGCATCTTCTTTGGAAAAATGCCCATTTCAAGTTCTTTGTTCATTTTATGGGTTATCTCTCTATTGTTGGGTTGTAAGAATTCTTTCAATTTCTTTCTCTCTCTCTCTCTCTCTCTCTCTTTTCTTTTTTAAAAAATATTTTATTATAGATAGACACAATACCTTTATTTTATTTATTGATTTTATGTGGTGCTGAGGATCAAACCCAGTGTCTTGCATGTGCTGGGCAAGTGCTCTACCTCCAAGCCGCCAGCCTCTGCTCTTTTTTCTTTGCTTTGCTGGGAATTAAATGCAGGGCTTCATGCATGCCAGGCAAACGTTCTACCACTGAGCTATATTCCCAGTTCTTCCTGTTTCTGTATACAATCCCTTATCAGATGTATGATTTGCAGATATTTTCTCCCATCCTGCAGGTCATCGTCCCACTCTCTTGATGGGACCATTGCAACAATAAGTTTTCGATTTTATTGAAGTCCACTTATCTGTTTTTACTTTTGTTGCTTGTGCTTTTGGCATTGTATCTAAGAATACATGGTCAAATAAAAGGTCACAGAAACTCCAGTGTTTTCTTCTAAGAGTTTTATGGTTCCAAGTCTTGGGTTAGGCCTTGCATTCATTCACTTGCTCATTTTTACAAATGGTGTTATGCAGGGGCCCAGATTCGTCTTTGGCATGTGACATTCCATCATCCCAGCACCATTTGTTGAAGAGACTGTTCTTTCCCCTATCGAGTGGTCTTGGCTTCCTGGTTGAAAAGCAGTTAGTTGGCTTCGTGCAAGTTTCTTTCTGGATCCTCAGTTCTAGTCCATTGATCCACATATCTGTCTTCATTGATTCCATATTGTCTTCATTAGCATGGCTTTCTAACAATTTTAAAATTGAGAAGTGTGAGTCTTCTAGCTTGGTTCTTCTCCAGGACTGCTTTGACTATTCTGGATTGTTTATATTTCCATACTGGTTTTAGGATGAGCATTTCAATTCCTACAGAAGAGCCAGCTGGGGTTCTCATAGGGCCCATAAGCTGTCATTCAGGGAGTATTAACCTCCTGACAACAGTGAGCCTGGATCCGCGGAAGAAGACACCCTTCCATTCACTTAGATTGTCATTGATTTTTCTTTCAGCAATATTTTGTAGTTTTCAGTGTATAAGTCTTGCATTTATTTGGTTAAATCTATGCCTGAGTATTTTATTCTTTTTGAAGATAATATAGATGAAATATTCTAAGATGTTATTTATGTTCATAAATATTATATTATTCATAATGATATAAATAAATTATAAAATAATGAATACATTATTATATTTATATATTATAAATATTATATTTATGAATATGAATATTATTATAATATCATCAACTGATATTTGATGATGATATAAATGCGAGCTTTTAAATTTTCATTTTGGAATGTTCATCACTCTTGTAAATAAATACAGTTTTGGCTTTTGTGTATTGATCTTGTATCCTGTGACTTTACTGGGTTTATGGGTAGTAATAGTTGTTTTGTTTGTTCACAGTGCTGGGATGGACCCAGGGTCTCAGACATGCTAGGCAAGTACTCTACCGCTGTGCTGCCCCCACAGCTCAGTACAGTTTTCTAGGGGATTGCTTGAGGGCTTCCATACACACAGTCATGTCGTCTACAAACAGTTTTGCATGTCCCCTTCCAATCTAGATGCCTTTTATATTCTTTTCCTGCCTAATTTCCTGCAATACTCTGCAGTGCAATGTCAGGTTAGAATGGTGAAAGCAGACATCCTAGTCTCATCTGGATCTTAGATGGGGGAGATCATCCAGCCTTTTGCCCTGGCCCAGAAGGGTTTGAGTACCTTGTTTCTAGTTCAGTCTCCACTATCAGATCTGGGGCTGGCCCTTGTGGATTGAGGCAGTTCCCCACACCGAAGGATGAAGAGTTGTCTTGGAAGGCCCTCCCTGCTAGCTCTTACACCCTGCGCTTGTGATTCTGCCTGTGTTCCTTTTTCCTAGCTAGTTCCCTTGGACGTGGTTTAGATCATGAAACAGACTGAAAAGGACACTTAGACATATTTGTAAGTCCTTTCTCCATACCCATTTTGACTGCTTTTGGTGTCCCCAATTCTGAACAACCTAACCTAGATGGAAATTGCAAAAGTTGAAATGTGAGTAGAGCAGAGATTTTTGTTTTCTTTTTTGTGGTACTGACAATAGAACCCAGGGCCTTCCTCATACTGGGCTAGTGCTCTGCCTCTGAACTACCTCAGCCCAGAGATGACTCAGTGGGTGCATATTTCCTTTCCTTTGAATCCCTGGTCAGAGAGAGAGTGCAGTGTGGACACTGCTCTTTCCCCAGCAGCTCAGCAGACACAGACTCCTGGCCTCCACCCTCTAACGGTCAGTCCCTCTGTGTTCTCAGACTCCCAGCGCTCTCATCTCTCCTCCTTCACCATGAAGCTGATGGACAAATTCCACTCGCCCAAAATCAAGAGAACACCATCAAAGAAGGGAAAGCCTGCCGAGGTGTCTGTGAAGATTCCGGAGAAGCCTGTGAACAAAGTAAGCTGCCTCTCCAGGTGTCAGTGCTGCCCTCCCCTACAGCCCGCAGTCGGAGTTACGCTCTTTGTAGGTGTGCTCCCTGGGTCTCCTTTAGACAGTACCATGTCAGTCAGCTAGTTGGCTAGGACAGTCTTCCCTTCTGAGCTGTGTCTTCCTTGGACACTACTCACACCCCAGATGCTGCCTCCTGCCCGAGGTCCTCACATTGTCCTGGGCACAGTCACACACGGGAAGTTTGTAATGTCCAGAATGCCCATCATTCAGCTTTAGGGCTCTGAAACATGCAAATCCCTGGGACCCAACCAGAGATGTCCTCAGGTATTAGTAACCTCAGCAGGGCCAGCCAGCCAGGATGTTGAGCCACTGTTGCTTTTCACCAGCCCCCTTTCAGCCTGCCACGGCCATTTTAAGCTCTGTAGGAATCCAGGTTTCCTCTCTTCCAGGAGGCAAGAGACAGATTTCTACCAGAGGGCTACCCTATCCCCTTGGATCTGGAGCAGCAGGCAGTAGAATTTATGTCCACCAGTGCTGTGGCTTCCAGGTCTCAGAGGCAGAAGGTCAGTGTGACGTTAAGAACAATTGGTTTTGCCTTGCCTTCTACTGCAGAATCCTGGCCCATGGTTTGGGGATACGAAAACCTCTATTACAGTATCATTGTTTCTGACTGGGTGACAACTGGGCTGAAGTGTGCAGAAGAATTCACAGGGCCTTGGATAAAGGGAATGTTTATTCAAGCTCTCTTGGTTTGTGGAGAGAATTCAGTACCCCACAGAAGTTTGGGGTCCTCTCCAGGGTTGGCATGGGTGTGCTGCTTGGGCCCAGCAGGTTCAGGGATGGGTGGGTGAGCCTCTCCTCTCGAAAGCAGCTGTACTTTCCTTCAATTGCTGAGATGAGGTGAGTCGTTGAGCAGGAAGGCTGGAAAGCTCAAGAAACCTGGACACTGTCCTAGCCATCCGCAAGGCTGGGGTTGAGGGGAAGGGCCCAGTGCTCTGGGGCCAGGACTTTGCTGCCAACAGTGCAGGGTCCTTTTCCTGGCCCATGCTCACTGCTTGACACATGTTTTCTTCTTTAATCTTCACAATGGTCCTAACAGGTAAAAAATCTGTTTTGCCGTAAAGGAAACTGGGTCTGTAGAGATAAGAAGCATTTAGCCAGTCACCCAGCAAGATTTGAGCACAGGCCATCCTCTGTCAGAGCCTGACTTATCTGATACTACATTTCTTTTTTTAAGAAAGGAAGACAGAGTGTTTGTTTTTTTTTTTTTAAATGTCTCACACACCTAAATATTGATCCTGATGTATTACTATGCTTAAAAAATAAAATTAATCATGTAAAATAAAAGCAAATTTCATAGACAAATTGATCCTTAATCCTTTAGTGATTATTCAGAGGGAACCTATCATGGAACTATTGTCACAGCCACCAATTAAGCACAATTGACAAATATTATCCCATTGTTTAAGCATAAAATTCTTAAATTTTGTGATTCATCTACTTTTGGTTTTCCTGTTGGCCAGCAAAATATCTTAAAAGCCTAGTTAGGAATAGAGAAAATAAGGTCTTTAAATTCAAAAGTCTTTTGGTGGATAATATTTTTTTTCTGCCCAATGTGTTAACTACAGGAGCCTGTGACACAAGGGCAGTCTTGCCCATGCCAGAGATCTGAATTCCAGGAGGAAGCAGAGTGGGAGGGCATGGCTTGGACTGTGCTTGAGCTAGTTTTGTTGCTATCTGCGTAGCTGCTCTCGGAGACAAGTTTTGTGTTGACCTCCAAGGAGAGTGAGCTGCCACCTGATGCTAGTCCAGGCAGAGCAGAACAAAGCAAAATGGTTTACCAACAGCTTTGCCCTGCTGCTGAACTCAGCAAATTTCAGCCTTTCGATCCTTGAATTTTCCCTCTTTATTCTTTATCCCAGGAGAGGTCATGGAGGAAAATGTGATATGGAAGCACCCTTCGCATAGTGTGGCTCCTCCAAACCCCTGGGGATGTTTGGCAGTATCTAGGGACATTCATTTCTAGTTGTCAGCACAGGAGGGTGAAGCAGGCACTACTGGGCACCTCGTTGGGGGGGTGGTAGGGGCTGCTAGACCTCCCACAGTACACATACAAAGCATGGAACCACATTGGTAGTGCCAGACTGCAGGTGTGACCTTCCGCGAGGACAACTATTGGCCTGATCCACCTGCCTGCAATGAACGAGGGCAGACCTGCTGTTTAGTGGGGCAGCTCTGCAGGCAGAACGACAGCTGCAGGGGTCTGCCACCTATCAGAGACCGCTGCAGAGACTCTCTGCTAGCTTGTCTGCCATTCATTGGTTCCCTTGCCACTTGGAGAATGTAGTGCACACCCACTCTCCCCTATCCTGGCTGTGTGCCTGCTCTCCCAGTTAGGGGGGTTGTACAGATTCAGGTTTGGGCACCTACAGAGGCTTCCCTTTGCCCCAGCCCTGTCCTGGGTGGCTTGGCACATGCTGTTTCACGTTCTCCTCACTGTAATCATGTGGGAAAGGCTTTTATTATCCCCAGGGTATGGATAGTGTCGATATTGGCCCAGCTTTTCTTAATCAAAGCCTGTTTTCCACTATATTCTGTTGTCTTCTCAGACTCATTTCATTTAGATACATTAATTGTCTCATATCTGTAGATAAATTTATAAACTCTTTTTACAACCTTTTAACAAGCTTAGTAGTAAGCTATGGAGCGTTATAAAGTAGTACAGAAAATTTAGCCAAATACTCAATTCAAAGTTGACAGTCCTGTGTGATCATAATTACCATGTCCAGAAATAGTCCAGAAGGGATAAGTTTTCCAACCTGGGGGCCATTTGGACAGTGCTGGTCCTGGCACTCTTGAGTAGACTCCTGCAGAGGTTTCCTCTCAGCTGTCACAATCCTATAAGAAACATAAGCAGGGAGATGTCGGTACCCAAGGGCCTGGCAGTGGGCACTACTGTTCTGTGCTTGCTGTAACTGGCCCAGCAAAAAAAAAAAAAAAAAGCAGTGTTGCGCTGTCTGTGAATAGTTCCACAGTGCTGGTTTTTCATAGTGCTAATTTGAACTTACTTTCCCCCAGCCCCAGCTTAGCTCAGATTTGTGTAGTTACTTGTCCTGTAGTGCTGGAAATGAGACTGGGTTTCTGGGAAGCAGAGATCAAGGCTGCAGGTGGAATGAGGGTGTGGAATGCAGGTTAGGTGTCACTGCTGCTCTGCTGTCGAGGGAGGGCATGAAGAACAGGCCAGTTTTCCTCCTCTTTCTCTTCCACAGCTGTCCTTCTTAGCAGCCCACTGCAGCCAGGCACAGCCTTGGGTCCAGTTGACACCACCCTTCACCCAGCAGGAAAGCAATTTCAGTTTCTGTCCATCTGGGCCTTGTTTTTTCATTTAGGAAATGAGAGTTTTGGAGCAAGGGATTGCTAATGCATTTCTTTACTTATTCCAAGGTACTTTGATCAGTCTTTTTTTTTTAAATATTTTTTTTAGAAGTAGTTGGACACAATACCTTTATTTTGTTTATTTATTTTTGTGTGGTGCTGAGGATCGAACCCAGGGCCTTGCATGTGCTAGACGAGTGTTCTACCGCAGAGCCACAATCCCAGCCCCTTGATCAGTCTTTTTTCCCCTCTCAGCCTCCCCAGGCTCTGGAATCAAACAGGCCAAGTTGTCACTACTGGTGTCTGACTGTGGGCATGTTGTTTGACCTCCCCACTGCCCACCAAGCCCCGCTTCCTCACCTGTGGAATAATAGTGTTTGCTCCGTGGGGTGGTTGTAGCCTTCATGAAATGGTTCACAGAAAACCCTGCCCTGCAGATGGCCTGTGGTACCCAGTGAGTGGTGGCTATAATCCAGACCTTTTTCTTCCTTTTTAGATTTTTGCATCCTTTGTACAGCTTCTTTGCTTTATTATTGGCAGATATAAAATCTCTGGTGCTGGTATTATGTCTGGGAAGTGCTAGAAATTATTTCTATCCATGTCCTCATTCATCCCCCACCCCCATTGGTCTCTGCAGTCACACAGGGCAGATATGTCCTACCTGCTTTGTAGACAGGGAGCCCAGAATCTAGGGCTTCCCAAGAGCTATGGTGGGCCTTGGATCTGGGCCCTCCCAGGACAGGTTTGTGGGGACCAAGAGCAGCAACTGTTTCCTCGGGGCAGCAAGGGTGTGCAGGTGGGTGCATCCGCCACACCAAGAGTATGAGGCTGGGCAACATTAGCAAAGTCACAGTTAATGAGTCCCCAGGTCCAGCTAGTGCTGGGAGCAGGTATGTCACTGTACACTCTGCTCCACCACCAAAAGGCTGGGAAGGCTCTAGGTTTAGCCATGGATTCTGGGAACAACCTTTGCTGGAGGCTAAAGAGTGCGTCACTCCCCTTTCCTAAGAGCCCAGGCCACCAGCTCTTACATGGCTGATGAGTCCTCTCTGCAGTGACAGAGAAGATTTCTTTTCTGCTCTGAAGTACCTGCCAATGTCTTTCTCCCTTACATACCCAGTGACACACATTTTCTAAAAATATGTCCTGTTCCTCACCAAGTTTCATCATTGCTGGCTTCCAGCATTTTCTGATGTGCCAAGATGGTAGTGTTTGTCCTAGTCCTCCTCTTGCGGGACAAACCATGGCTTTGGTTTGTGTTTGCTGTCTGCAAGCACAGAGAGGACTGGCTTCTCAGGCTCCTCCAGGCTGTGGGTAGGTGATGGCGAAGCCGAGAGCGCTTGCCCAGAGGTAGAAAGACCAGTGCCTGGAGACAGTGAGCAGACAGACCTGTCAGGAGTCAAAGGGGGAAAGAAGGTGAGGGAGACGGGTGCCCAGTAATCACAGAGAAGAGGGCACTCCGTGCTGGAGGTGTTTCCTGGTCTCAAGAACACCTTGGGGAGGTAACCCACAGAGGGGAGTCACTTGGGTCTTTGGGAGGAGTCTGACTGAAGAACCTGTTTACTCACTGATCCCATTCACTTACAGATTTTTCTTTGAGATTCCTATGAAATAATTCCTCTATTGAACTTTTTAAAGTTTAAAAGGACATTCCCTCTCATTTTAGAAGAAAAGAACTAGGGCTCAAAATCATAAATCATTTTTATAATATTGTGTCATGTACTTGTATATTTATAAATTACTGTCTGTACCAGTGTCTTCTAGAAGTTTCTTCTTGCCCTCAGGCGCTTTTTTTTAATGTAATTTTTATTTTTTTAGTTGTAGATGGACACAGTACCTTTATTATTTATTTTCATGTGGTGCTGAAGATTGTACCCAGTGCCTCATGGTGCTAGGCAAGCGCTGTACCACTGAGCCCCAGCCCCAGCCCCCTAGGTTGTTTTCATTAGCATTCTCTAGTCCTCTTCCACTCGTGGGCCTGCCCCTTGGGTACTTTACTCAGTTCCCCCACCTGCCAGCTGGGGTCTGGACGATATACAGCCATTCCACGGGGAGGTTGAAAGAAAGGAACGGAAGGGGGTGTGGCCACATCCAAGGAGAAGGATGGTGTGGTTGGCTTGAGTTCTGGAACATGTAGCGCCCTCACAGGCAGCTTTCCTCAGGAACAGGGCCTGGATGCTGTCAGCAGCCACTGCACAAGTAGCAGCTGAACTGCTGCCATCTCTCCAGCAATCTCAGCTTTCATGCCAGAGTTTCCCACCCTTCCAGCCCTGGGTTGCCAGGTGCTGTGGGGGTAGCATGACATTGTGTTGAGAGGAGGTTGAACAGTGTGGGAGATGGGTTGAAACCCCTTGGGTCTTTGGAAGAAAAACCGGGATCTCCAGGTTGGTTTATAGGACAGGTGTGCCATGGGACTGGGCTATTGCAAGATAGCAGCAAGTCAGCACATGCTGCACTTCCTGAGATTAGAGGTGGCTCTCAGTGTAGCTGCTTAGGACATGGAAGAGAATGGTTTGGGGACCTCAGGTGTGGGGAGAGAATTCAGAAATTTCTCAGCTATCTTTCTTAGTCCAAACCCCTTCTTCCTTCAGGTCTGGCCTCTGTCTGCTGATCACAAGCCACGGAAAAATAATCTGACTTAGTTTCTGCAGCCAGAATGTTTTCTGTTCTCAGCAGTCTCAAGCTGGTTTGCAGGAACTTTTATTCATTTTTTTTTTAAACAGCTCCCTTAAAGCTCGCTCCTCCTGCTTATGCTTTATGTTTCCTTTCAGAACCTGAGCTGGCTGGAGGAGAAGGAGAAGGAAGTTGTCAGTGCCTTGCGCTACTTTAAGACCATTGTGGACAAAATGGCTGTAGACAAGAAGGTGCTGGAGATGCTCCCAGGCTCTGCCAGCAAGGTGCTGGAGGCCGTCTTACCTCTGGTGCAGACTGACCCTCGTATCCAGCACAGGTGAGTTGCTCCCAAGTCCTTGGCTGTGTCACCAGTGAGGGTGCAGAGGCATCTTGGTTTGGGGTCCTCAAAACACAGGTTTCTAGGAATAGGAAAAGGATCCTTTCCCCTCTCTCCCAGCTGTCCTTGGGCTGTTCTGGCAACAGATCCTTGCTCCTCCTGGGGCCTTGACACTAAGGCAGATTACTGCCAAACCAGGGGACATTATCTAAGTACCCTCAGTCACCCTACACGTTTAACCACCTTTTATTAGGACCTTCAGTCCCGAGAGTCTTCAGTTGCTTGAATGATCAAGGAAAGAGAGAAGAACCAGCCTCAGGGCTAGAGTAGGAGAACCCTTGTCTGGGGCCGGGCAGGCCAGGGCCTCCCAAGCAGCCTGTGGACTGGGTGGGGGGGACTGGGGGCTGGGTGCCATTGTTGAGTTCAGGGGCTTATACTGCTGGAGTACATTTCTTCTTAAAGGTCAGCAGGCAGTTGGCCCCATATTGATTGCTAAGTATAAAAAGAAGGGCCATATTAAATGTAATCTCAAATGAAAGCCTAGCAGGAACTTTTTCTTCCAAGGCTGGCCCGTTATTTGTTTTTTATCCATGGTACCTGTTCAAGGTGAATGCATCTCTGTTTCAGTTTCTCCAGATGGCTCAGTAGTTATTGGCCCCCAGGAGGCTGAGCTTTTATGAATGACTTTCAGAACTTGGCAACAAAATTCAGTTCCCTTCTTGTGGAAGATAAAGTCAATAGTGTCTTTATTTTCAGGGAACTCTCTGCCGTGAGCTTCCCATGGGCATTTCTGCTGATCGCTAGAGATCATAACCTTTAGGCTAGACGCTCCTTGCTGCTGGGTGGTGTGGCTTAGCTGTCTGTGTCATGAATCCCATGGTTAATCCTTGCCCAGCTCCCAGGAGGGCTCGGTCTGTTCTTTGAGAGAGTCTGACCTTAGGCTGTAGTGAGATGCATGATGACTCCCTTTTAAATGCCCTTAAATATCTGTTTTCATGTAATGGTCCCTACCAGGGAAGAGTTAAGACCTAGCTGGAAATCCTCCTCAGGTAACAAAGGAGCTGATTTGTGGTATCAAGTTAGAAGCTCTGTTGGGACTTGAAGAAGGGAGAGTTTGGAGAGAGCTGGAGTTAGTCTGACCAGACTTCTCAGAGGAGGAACTGCGCAGACCTGGGAGAGGCCACAGTTGACTGGAAGTGAAGAGACAAAGGGTAGCAAAGGACCTGAGGCCAGTGGGCAGGGGAGAGGGTGGTGGCAAGAGAGGATGCATCACCTCTCTTGCCACCTTCCAGTGCTAGTCAGCCTCTGGGAAAATCCCTGCTAGAGTCACCTTAGCTAAATCCTGCAGCTAATTGTTATAGTGTGTTGCCAGCTCTTTCAGTGCCTGCAGGGGACCTTCAGCAACTGATGCTGGTGGAAATTAAGTATTAAACACCAGTGTCCTCATACTACCTCATCATCCCTAGAAACTCAGCTGTGCCATGCTGTGGTGGAGCCACAGGGTGGAAAGCAGCAGGCTTTGCTAGAGGTCCCCTTTTATATTTTGCTCTTCCTTTGTTATAATGCATTAGGTCTGAAATGGAAAGATAACCATCTTTCCGTTTCTTTGGTTATTTAAAACTCTGGGAAAGATGAGTAACTTACGTATCTCAGCTGCTGCTCTGTGCTTACTGGGGCTTCTCCCAGCACCCCCTCAGCTCCTCTTGCCTGTTTTGGCGTCAGAGCTGGTGCATTACACACACACACACACACACATACACATACATGTCACCACTGTCACACATCCCCACCACCATCACAGGTCACCTTGCTTGTTGGTTCATCGTTTTCTCAGAACAGTCATTAGTGCGTTCCTCCGACTTATCAGCCACAGTTATGGTGCAAAGAGGTTGGTAAAATTGAGCCAGGATAGGAGAAATTCTAATAAACTGCAGGTCTTTCTGAGCTCATGGCTGTGCCTTTAAAGGGTCCTGCCCAGTAAAATTCCACAGACCTCTTGGCTTGTGTGACTGTCCAGAGGAGATGGGTGATATATAAGATGTCATCAGAATTTCATAGAAGGGTAGAGGGATGTGAAGTTTGGAAAAGTTTTGTTAACTGTTTTGGTGGAATTTTCATGTTATAGTTTGGAAATTTAAAAAAAAAAATTATAACACAGATGAGAACATAAAAGCCCCACAAAATCTTGGTTGGCTGTAAAGAGAAAGGCACAGGGCAAATGAGGTCTGCTTCTTCACTAGAGGTGTGGATTTTTAAAAAGCAAGACAAGGAACATTCCCTGACCATTGAGAAATTGGTCTTGCATCACGTGGACATCTGCAGGCATTGGTCATGCTTGAGATTTGTTCATATTCTTTTTCAAAACCCTCTCTTCCTCTAGCTCAGCCCTCTCCTCCTGCTACAGCCGAGTGTACCAAAGTCTTGCCAACCTCATCCGTTGGTCTGACCAGGTGATGCTGGAAGGCGTGAACTCAGAAGACAAGGAGATGGTGACAACTGTGAAGGGAGTCATCAAAGCTGTTCTGGATGGAGTAAAGGTACCAGGGCGGGTTCCAGGCTGTCCTGGTTGGGACTTGGAGCAGCCAGCCTGCTTGATGTTAGGAGCTTGTTCATAAACTTAATGCCTGGAAATGAATGTCTTCCAGAGTCTCTGGTACTCAGTCTGATGACTGCTTAATTTTCTCAGGACTGGTCTAAGTGACTCTTGCAAGCCTGTGGAGTTCTTGTCCACACTGTTGGAAGGCTACCAGAGGCATCTTGTGTTTGGTCTTCAGAGGCCATATCACGGCTCTGACTGAGCACGCTGCCCGCGAAATATGGTGCAGTGGAGACTTCTTCCACATGTTTTTATTGGTGCATGGTAGTTTTTCATAATGGAGGGATGTGTTGTTACACATTTGTACATGTGGAGATTGTTTTTGCCTTGACTTTTCACAAAACTCCCAGTATGTCAGCTTTTCCTTTTCATGTTCTAGGAAATTTGGGGATTTTTGGTAGAAAAGCAAGAATGAAATGAGTAAGAAATGAACCTGTATTTACTTGATATCTGTGGTGTGGTCTGAGGATTCAGCATCCAGGGAAGTCAGGAGCAATATAATGGGAAATTATGACTCTGTAGTTAAGGTGGGAAGCAAAGGCCAAAAGGCTCTGGGGCATAAACCCTAATTTGAGAGAGTAAGTCCTGGTGGATGAAAGTAAGGGAAATATAGAGCAGGAATCCTGTGAGGGCCTTTGGACCAGGACTGGAGCTGTGGGCAGTAGGAACATGGAAGCCTGCTGTTACACAAAACCACGTCCTGTGGTGGCAAGAGCTGGCCTTGAGACCTGTCTAGCTTTCATACCAAGGCCAGCACTTACTGGCCAGTGCACATGAGTGGTTTCCTTAGCTGCTCTATACCTTGGTTAACTGGTCCATAAATAGGTGTAATAGTAGCACCATGTACCCTATGTGCATATATGATTATACAACCTGTGTAACTACATCACTTCCAACCAGAAGAATGAGAAGTTATACTCCATTTATGTATGATGTATAAAAAGGCATTCTATTGTCATGTATAACTAATTAGAACAAATTTTTTAAAAATTTAAATAGTAAAAGCACGTGTCATAGGGTTGCAGATAGGATTGAGTTAGTATATGGAGTGCTTGTGGAACGGTGCCAGGCACATGCTAAGCACTTGGCATTAGCACTGTTTGTTATTAACTTTGTGGTGCTAAATGCATGATTTATGAATGTGGCTCAGAAAAATTGCATTCTCTTCCCTTCTACCCACCAACCCAAAATGATAGCTGAGGTACTTACTCTATATCAAGAAAGATTCCTCTACGCTCACCAGATCACAGCTTCCTGAAAGCCTCCTGCATGGACCCTGGAGAGCAGAGCAAGGATCCCAAGGGAGGGCTAAGAAAGGCTAAGAAAGCATTATTTGGTGTGGCAGTTTGCTCCCAAGTGGTCACAGTTAGCTCAAGGTCCAGGGGCTCCCACCTCAAACACCCAGTAAGGACAGCTGAGTGTCTGCAGGGAAATTTGAGTTCATGTCCAGGGATGCATGGCTCCTGTCTACTCCGACTGCTTCTATGTCCTCGGCACCCCCAGAGTTATTAAGTCCTGTGAGACTTCAGAGTGGAGCCCAGTGCGGCCGATGAGAGATCTGTGTTGCTCTCCAGATTTCATGCTAGTCCCTTAGCTACTCTCGCTGCTTCCTCATGATAGCTCCCCGCAGGCAGCAGGCAGCGGGAGGCCTGACCTGCGAGGCACTCAGCTCAGCTTTGACTCATCCAGCTGCTGTACTGTTCAGGCCTCTGGAGATGCTGCTGTTCTCTTTCTAGGTGACACTGTGTGGGTCCCTCCACCACGCTGATGCTGCCGAGAGCAAAGCAAGTTGGCACAGAAGAGGTGGGGTTTCCTCACTGGCTTCAGGCAGCCCAAAATGGAATCAGGACAGCGTCACCCTCATTAAAAGGGAATTTCTCCAGTCTTTCTATGACCAGACTGAGAAAGAACCTGTGGGATTTGAACCTGGCAATGTCTAAGAACCAGTAACTTCTCCCCAGTTGTCTTAAAACTACTTTCACCAGAACAGAGATTCTGCAGTGAGAATTTCTATAGATTCACTTTTGTCACACTTATTTAGGAAGTGTGTAGGGAGCGCCTCTGTCGCCAGATGGTGAACACAGTGATGAGCAAAGCTCACGCAGGTCTCCACCTGGGGGGCTTGCCTTCTGAGGGCAGAGAGCCTCCTGTGCACCCAGCCACCTCCACTGCCTCCCTCAGGCAGGAGAGCCACACTCAGCACACGGATTCTACTTCGTGATTCAGAATAGCCACTTCATCCCCAGCCATCATGTCTACATTCCAGCCAGCAGTGAAGATGAGAATACGAAGTTGTGCCTTTCCCTTTAAGGAGGCTTCTTGGAAAGCCTCACAAAATTTTCATGTACATTATATTGGCCAGAGCTTGATCATATGCCCAGCTGAAAATCCATTAGGAAGAACAGATACTGTGGGGCAACCACCTGTCTGCCACATTGACATTTCAAATAAGCCATTTCTTTTATCCTTTTCAGACTATTTTTAAATGTTTTATTATGAACAATTTTCAACACTTGCAAAACAGAACAGTGAATAGAAAGAGAAGAGACTCTTGAGGCCTCTCGGGGTTTCCTAGGTCCTTCCCCTCATCATGGCCACTTTTGTTTCTTCTCTTCCTCTACCTGCTCCCTGGATGATGTGGGAGCAGATCCCAGGTGCCATGTCCTGCCATCTCTGGAACAGGCTTGTTTGAGAGAGGGACATTGCAGGCATTCCAGGCCACAGAGAGCCCTTTGTTTTCATTTTTGTTCTTTTTGAAATGACCTTCTTACCTAGAGAGCCTTGCAGACACCAGCCCTAGGCTGAATTTGACCTGCAGGGTGTGGTTTGCTACTTCTGAATGGCTCATTTTTTTACTTCAAGATCCAAATAAAGTTCATACTCTGAGTTCATTGATCGGTGTCTGAAGGGTTTTTTTACTTTTTTCCTTGCAACTTGTTCTTGTGGAGAGCGGCTGCTCCTGGAGTCTCGCATCTGAGCCATGCAGGGCACCAGGCAGTGCTGCGAGCATGCTCCTCCAGCTGCGACTTGCTGGAATCCAAGACGCAGCAGACCAGGGCCTTGTGCTTGGGAGGATGCCCTGCATCCTTGAGCGAGCCGGGCTTTCCCTTGGAGATGTCAGAGGCCATCAACCGTCACACCTGTGTCCATTGCTTCCTCAGGGTTATAGAACAGGAACATGGACATCTGCCATTTCCTTAGCTGGATTGTGTCTGAGAGACTTCTCCTTGTCACCTTCATGTTGAGCTTAGTTCCCTTCTTTTGTATACCAGTTTTCAAAATCATGAGTATTTTCAAGCACCCTTTAGTATGACCGATGAATGTTTTTTTTAGAAAATTATCATTATGAGTGAGTGAATTTAGGCATGCTTGACATGTTTCACCCAGTGCAGAGTTACTCTTTGTGGTGTCCAGGTCCAGCCTTGTGCCTGGGGACGGCTCTCAGTGGCGCCTTCTACATGCCTTTTGACACGGTGCTGCAAGTCTTTACTAGCTCTCTCACTTCTAGCTATGAGAAGTTGTAGGATCCTCTTTTGTGCTTCCTGGGTTTTCTTGGTGGGACATTGGTGACAGCTTTATTGAAATGCAGTTTATGCATCTGGAACATGCCACTTGGTGACTTCCTGGGTATTCCTGCACACTGGTACACTATTACCACCACAGCCAGCTTTAGAACACAGTGGTCTCAGGATGAATACCACCACCACCACCACCACCACTATGATTCTTTCAAATCACTGAAAGTTTGTATTACCTAAATAATAGCAAGGAGAAGCGATTTTTGTTTTTTGGTACCAGGGATTGAACTCAGGGGCACTGGACCACTGAGCCACATCCTAGCCCTATTTTGTATTTTATTTAAAGACAGGATCTCACCGTTGCTGAGGCTGGCTTTGAACTCCTGATCCTCCTGTCTCAGCCTCCTGAGCTGCTGGGATTATAGGTGTGCGCCACCGCACTTGATGAGGTGCTACTTTTGTGATTTAGGCAATCCTATTAGGAGCACACAGTCATTTTCAGACACTTGAAAGTCTTTGTATGGGTGTGTGTTTAGGGTTGTTTGATTCGTTACATCTTTGGAGTATTTCTGTATATCAGCGTGTTGAGTTTGGGATGTTTTTATTTGGTTTGTTTTGGTTTCGATACTGGAAACAACCCAGGGATGCTCTAGCACTAAGCCACATCCCCAGCCCTTCTTATTTTTTTATTTCAAGACAGGGTCTTGTTAAGTTGCCCAGACTGGCCTCTAACTTGTGACCTTCTTCCCAAGCCTCCCGAGTCATTGGGATGACAGGTGTAGCCACAGCACCTGTGGCGGTGGTTTTAAAGGAGAGGAGAAGAAATGGGGAAGAGGAAAGGGAAACGAAATAGCTTATTATAGGTAGTAGAGATTTCTCCTGTAAGAGTTTTGGGGATATACTTTTGTAAGTTTAAAAAAATCATCATGCTTATATTTCAATTTCATACATTCAGATTTTAGACCTTTTGTTGTTTTAGTTTTTAAAATAATGTGGCTTAAAGATAGACCTCTCTCGTTACTCTGATAGCCCCCTTCCCACCCTGTTTTCTGAGTTCAGTAATTATGTTTTCTGGTAAATCTTCTCAGACGAAGCCTATACCAAACATGTGCTCTTTGCAGTGTTTGGGCCTGGGGTGTGGAGCTGACTTACAAAGGTCCAGAGAATCCACAGTTATCCAGAGCTTCTGTAGCATCTTTTTTTTTTTTTTTTTTTGGTGGTAAGGGGAGGGCTACTGGGAATTGAGCCTAGGGACACTTTATTTTTATTTATTGATTGATTGATTTTTAATATTTATTTTTCAGTTTTCGGTGGACACAACATCTTTATTTTATGTGGTGCTGAGGATCGAACCCAGCGCCCCGCGCATGCCAGGAGAGCACATTACTGCTTGAGCCACATCCCCAGCCCCAAACCTAGGGACACTTTAAAGCTGAGCCGCATCCCCAACCCTTTTTATTTTTGAGACAGAGCCTTGCTGAGTTGCTGAGGGAAGCCTTGAACTTGCACTCCTCCTGCCTTAGCCTCCTGAGTTGCTGGAAATACAGGTGTGCACCACTGAACCCAGCTCCTGAAGCCTTTTTTTACTTGAATCATAGCTTCCTGCCTCAACTACATTTTTAGTTTTCACCACCTGGCACTCTTCTAGGCCACACTCACCCTGCAGGGCTCCTTGTCTTTAGGCTGAATGTGTCTTAGGTGGAGCTGGGTAGGCAGGCGCAATTTGTGGCTGTGACAACAGGGCCAGGTAACTATGGTTCTCCAAGGGTCCTGACTACCACCTTGAGCTGTGATTTTCCTATTGAGCAATTTTGCAAAGCATGCATTATAAATTACAGTCCTCTGAGCACTTCTATGCCCTGTGTCTCACCAAATCAGCCTTCGGCGAGAGACAAAGCTGACTGCAGCATCCTCATTTTGTACAGGAATAAATACATCTGTGGCGCTAGCAGGTCCTTAGGCCTCTGAGCTGTTGGCCCAGGCCTGGGACCCTCTATACATAGCTGCCTTTTTCTTGAAGGCAGATTTGAGGTTCAGGCTAATTCTCTGGATCTTACTCAAGTGAGGCTCTTCAGCAAAGATTCTTGTGCTTCTCTGCATGTGAGGATCCCGGGTAGCTTTTCATGCAGCTGTTGAGGCTCTAGGAATACTGGTTTGGTGGAAAGTAGCCCTGCTTTTTGTCTGTTTCAGGAATGGGCGCATGCTCATGCACTCTAGCATTTAGCTCAGCACTGAACTACAACGGATGCTTCTCTGCTCTCTTCTCTGGAGTGTAGAAACAGTGCCATGGAGTGGGATAGTCAGTCTTGCTGCCAGGCAGCCAGAATTTGCAGGCCAGCACACTTGCATTCTGAGTTCCAGGACAGGTTATCATGCTTTACTGTCTTTATCTGTGAAATGGGTGCAACAATCCACATCACTTACGACTATAATGAAAATGAAAGGAGATGGGATAAATTACAGGGGACCAGAATATAGGGGGATTATTACCACTTTGGATGTGGCCAGGGAAGTTCCCTTTTTGCTGCAATAAAAATGTCACTGGGGCTGGACACCCCTCTGATCTCATTATGCAGTTTCAGTTACAGGAAAATCCTGTACTCGGTTACCAGACCTGATCCAAGGCATGTGAAGAAGAACTGATAAAGGGTTGGGTCTTGGTCCATGGTCACACATCTCCTTGGGCACCCAGGAGATTCACAGGAGCACAAAGTGATGGTGGGTATATGATGAATGTGAGCAGGAAGGGAACCTTGGGTTGTAGCCTGGTGTGCTTTTCAGTGAATTGAGGACTCCCCCAGGATGTCCTGCCCTTGAGGGCCAGTGTGGCAGGGCAGCATGGCAGGGCATCTTACAGAGTTGCCACTGCCCCTGGGCTCCTATGGAAAGCCTTTTCTTGTGTGGCATGTCCCCTCTGCCAGACAGGGCTTTGTCTCGGCACCAGGAGGATGGAGGCAGATAGGCATAATCATGCTGTTTCCTTGAGCACCAGAGCCTACTGTTGTCCTGCAGGTCACTTAAGGCTTCCTTCTCTGTAGCCATTTTCAGTATAAATAAGCAAACGTGGAAGTAAAGTATAATGTATTTAGGAAGCTTCTTTTCCAAATACCTGGTTAGGTCTTGAAAACTGGTTTTCAGCAAACTAGTGGTAGGTCTCACTTATAGTCCCCTGCTGTAGACACAGTCCAGATAGATGTCAGTCTTTCCTAACTTGTGCTTCCAGATGATGAAAGGCCTGCCGTCACTCAGAAATCCTGCCTTCAGGAGGAGGTCCTGGGCCTGGACAACCTTCAGTGGGCAGTGAGGTGGGGGTGTTGGAAGCTGCTAGACGGTGTGCGTTCTCAAGCTCACCTCCATGAGATAGATGGTCATGGCAAGCTGAGACTGGAGCCTTCTGTGTAGATAGGCAGAGCTGCCCGCTCCTTCTCCAGCCTCTTTCAAGTCTGGGCAGCAGATTGGCCCTAGGGAATGTCGCTGCAGTCCTGGTGTTGCCTTGGAACCTGGGCACGCTCATGCGTGTGCGCCTGTCATTTCAGGAGGTCACACTGCCTATCCAGAAAGATAGCAAGCTAATTGTGATTGCTCATGAGTCAGGAAGAATTGGTGGAATTTGTACCTATGTCAGCCACTGCAAACACGCAGAACTCTCCTCTCCTCTTGCCCTGTTGTACTTGTGAGCCTGAAAGTGGAGCCTCTGCATGGCTTTCATCTGGTGCTTTGACCTGTGCTGAGCTGTGAACTTTCACGACAGACTGCCACTCCTGCCCTCCTCCAGGCCCTGGGTGCAGTGGCCACCTCCCTCAAGTCACTGTCTCTTCCCATCCTGTCATCGTGTCCTTCCTGTCTGTGTCACCAGCTGGCAAGCTGTCCTTGAGTATTAACTTGTAAATATGGTGACCAGAGCCATACGCACTCCCTCCTCTGCTGGTGTGGCTCTGAAACCTCACCTCCCACACTTCTCCACAAGCAGACGTTGGCTGCTGCAGAGTGGGGTGGCCGGAATCTGGTTCTCCAATGGGCCTTGAGGGGCTGTTGGAGGCATGCATTTGTTTAATTATTGTTTCAGAAGTAATGTATATTCATTTCAGGAAATCTAGGAAACAGGAACAAAATAAAGGATGTTCCACAGTCATACTTGTTTCTGTTACATAAATTCTCAACCTAGTTTTGTTCCCCAAACACGCACGTACCTCCTGGGGCTGTTCTTTTACTTGAGTCTGTATTACAGCATCTTTCTTTGCTGTGTCACATGCTCTTGTGATTTCATTCTCAATGGCCAGAGAGCGATCCCTGGTTGGGTTTTTCTCATGACTTAGATCCCCAGTACCTGTTAGCAGAGATGTAATCAAATGGTCTGAATTCATCTTTGGTGGGTGGATTTTTGCACACATCCATAGCCTTTTCCTTGGGGAGAGTTCTTATAATGCAGATATTCAAGGCTCAGCATGCATCCTGGTAGTCGTCTTGGGACAATCATCCACTGTCCAGAGTGACGCTTCCCTCACCCTGCATCAGGAGGTTTCTATTTTATTATGTCATAGCTAGGGGCTTTCTTATATCATCACCCACAGTTGTGGACATTGGTGAATTTCTCCTTTGCTGCTCCTTCTGTCATCTCCATCTTCTTTTCTAGGGTTTGAATCTTGGCTCTGGGGAGGACTTTGGCTTTGCCTTCCTCATAGCACCTGCTGCTGTTTCCCTGTGGTGTGGTTTCAGTTTGGAGGCTCTGCAGTCCCTGACTCAGCACAGTATAGTTCTGTTGACCTTCGCATCGTTGCCATCCCCTCTAACTTCAGAGGTAGCCTCCGTGCTGAAAGTGGACATAGCTGTGCTCATGTCCATCCACAGAGGACGGATAAAGAAGCTGTGTGTGTTCACACATGGGAGTGCTACTCAGCCACACAAAGGAATAGACCACCCATGCTCCCCAGAACCATGGCTGTTCATGCTGAGCGTAGAGGGACGGAATAGGCAGATCTGTGGAGCAGAAAGTAGACTGGTGGTTGCCAGAGTGGCAGAGTTGAGGGGACTCGAGGGTGACTATGAACAGGTACAGAATTTCTTACATACAGACACCAAACACAGAATTGCATGCTTCAAATGGGTATTTTGTGGCATGTGAATTATATGTCCCTAAAGCTTTTAAATGAAGAAGTTGGACACAAAAGTGTGTGCACTGGTTCCTCTTATCAGGGTCTGGGGTAGGTCAGAGTAACTGAAGACAATCCAAGTAAAAAAGTGGTGTGTGGGGGGCAGTGGACATAGGGTGACGGAAGTGGCCTATGCTCTGAGTGATACGCAGACAGGAGGAGCAGGGGCAGAGTTCCTCAGCCTGGGGGATGCATTTTACCTGAGAAAACCGGAGGCCTTGACCTGTTTTGAAAGTGTCTTTTTTTCGGGGCTGGGGATGTGGCTCAAGCGGTAGCCCGCTTGCCTGGCATGCATGCGGCACTGGGTTCGATCCTCAGCACCACATACAAATAAAAATAAAGATGTTATGTCCACCGAAAACTAAAAAATAAATATTAAAAACTAACTAACTCTCTCTCTCTCTCTCAAAAAAAAAAAAAAGTGCCTTTTTTTCTTCTTTCTTTCATTTCCTTTCTTCCTTTCCTGTTCTAAGGTCATTTCTTGAGTAATGACCTTGACTCCCTGTCCCTTGACCAAGACCCCAGCTAGTCCTCTTCAAGCGCCAGCTCCCACCACATTCGAGGCCAGCTAGCTTACTTTGGGAAACCCAAAGCCAGCAGCTGAGCCAGGTGGGTGTCCCTGAGCACATGACATGATGGCTTTAGAGAATAGAAAGTCGCCATCCCCACAAACCCACTGGGAATCTCTTCTGCTGGGAATTTACTTTGTGTGATGAACAGTCATTTCTAGACTGTGAGGTTCGCTATTTCCCCTTCCAAGAGGAAGTGTCTCATGCATTTGAAACCCCTTGACGTGCTATGAAGGTATTTTTGGAGGGCAGGGGCCATTTTGGGAAGCCATGCATGTCACCTACAGTGATAATCCATGCGTAGGGGCTACGTAGGAAGTGTGTGGGCACAAAAGCGGACTCAGCAGTAGAGCCCAGACAGGCCCCTGCCTGTGGCACAGCTCAGTGTGTCCCTCTCTCCCATGCTGGTGCAGGAGCTGGTCAGGCTGACCATCGAGAAGCAGGGGCGGCCATCTCCAACAAGCCCAGTAAAGCCCAGTTCCCCGGCCGGCAAGCCTGATGGGTAAGTTCTGACCAGACCCTCCTGGCATGGTGGTCACAGTCAGGGCAGCCCTCACTTGATCAGTTGAGAGCCTGTAGGCAGTCGGGGGGCGGCTGGGGAACCCAGGTTCCTTTTCAGTGGTAGGTTCTGGGTGAACACCTGTTACTTTAATGTTTTGAAGTGTGGCCTCGCCTGTCTGGGGTTTAATACTACCCCCCCACCCCCCCCACCCCCGTCATGTTTCTGAGGATGGTGCAGGTATATCCAGGGGAGGAAGGTGACTCCCTGTTGTCAGCCACCTGAATGCAAGCATTTTCCTGAGCAACTTCATTTCACACCCAGAAATTTCAAGGACATGGATTTCAGGAGTTTGACTTGAGAGTGCTTTGGGGTTTTTAATATTAGTTTTCTCAAGAGAATAAACTGAGGGCAATGTGGACAGTTTTAATACCTTGTGTAATTTCTACTATGAGCCCCTGGGGGAAATTAAGACACGAATTTGGAGCATTTTTAATTTTTTTTTTTTCCTACACTAGGGATTGAACCTGGGGGCTACGTCTCAAGGCCTCTTTTTTATTTTTTATTTTGAGAAAGGGCCTTGCTGAGTTGCTGAGGCCTACAGTCCTCCTGCCTCAGCCTCTTGCACTGCTCAGATTATAGGTCTGTGCCTGCCTAATTTGGAGTATTTTAGAGAACATTTAGATCATCTAATCCAAAGAATCCATTTTCAAGTAAGGAGACTGAGGTCAGAGTCAGGAAACTTGGCCAAGCCCTGCTAATTTACCAGTGATCAGATGTGATTGGAACCTCAAGGCTCCTGATCCAAGGCCCGTCACTTCCCCACCCTCACCCCCTCAGGACCTGAGTATGCTGTGCTACCTTCTGTAATCCTGAGTTCTTTTGTCTCTCCAGCCAGCCTGAGCTCCCCCTGACAGACCGAGAGATGGAGATTCTAAACAAGGCGACAGGTGTGTCTCCGTCAACTGAGCTGCTCCCAGACTCCACAGATGAAGAGGTTGCGCCCCCCAAGCCTCCTTTACCTGGCATTAGGGTGGTTGATAACAGGTGATCGTCTCCCTGTTTCTCTAGCACCTCCTTTAATTAGGACACTTGGGAAATGGATGGTAGAATGAGAAAACAGGAAGATGGTGTGGTTGGGGCAAGAGCTGGGGGGTTCATGCCCTGTTTCTCAGGAGCTCTGGAGGTTTGGCCCTGCTCAGAGTAGACTCTGAGGTCCTCTAGCCCTGGTCTAGGGGCTTTTCACATGCTCTGAACCCTACTTACATCTCTCCTTTTAGCCATAGCCATTGAAACCTGGTGTGGTTTATTGTGAACAGAAAAAAAAAAGGAGTGTTCTGATTTTCATTCCTTTGTTATTAATAGCTTTTTATTTTGGCAGGAAAGGAGCAGGTGGTAGTTAAAGTGTGGAAATTGGGTGTGGAGAAGCTGGTAATGAAATAGCCTCACCCACATCCTATATTCTAATAGCACTCTTTTTTTTTTTTTTTTTTTTTAATACTGGGGATAGAACCCAGAGGTGTTTAACCACTGAGCCACACCCCCAGCTCTTTTTATTTATTTTTTTGAGACACAGTCTCAATAAATTACATAAGGCCTTACTAAGTTGCTGAGGCTGACCTTGAACTTGCGAACCTCTTGCCCTGCTTCCCAAGTTGCTGGGTTATGGGCATGCACCCCTACGCCTGGCTCTAAAGCACTCTTGTTTGTGACATCTGGTTTGTCTACATGTTTTGGTCTCTTTCAGTCCACCAGCATTGCCACCCAAGAAAAGACAGTCAGCACCGTCCCCTACCCGGGTGGCTGTGGTAGCCCCCATGAGTCGGGCCACCAGTGGCTCCAGTTTGCCTGTTGGAATTAATAGGCAGGTAATGCAGCCCTGCTGCTGTGTGCACAGGTGAAGGGTGGAGGTTGGGAATTTGACCCTGAGGCCCTGCTGTGGTCAGGTGGAGAGGCTGTGAGGGTGGGGTTCTGTCATCCTCCTTCTTCCCCAGGGGGCTGGTAGGTAGGCTGGAGCCACAGGGCATCTCCTGAGGACATCTTTGTCCACTCCTCCACCAGGACTTCCTTTCTGTCTCTATATGTCATTGTATTGCTGACATCAGAAGTGGTTTCTGAACAGGGCTATTTCCTTCTCTGAGTCAATGTGCCCATTTTGCCTTGTCCTCAGTCTCTGCCACCATTCTCAGAAGTGACTTGACTTGTTTTATTTTTCTTTCTGAGGATTTTGAGGTTGACTGTTATGCACAGAGGCGACTGTCAGGGGGCAGCCACTCATATGGCGGAGAGTCTCCCCGCCTCTCCCCCTGCAGCAGCATAGGCAAGCTCAGCAAGTCGGATGAGCAGCTCTCTTCTCTGGACAGGGACAGTGGACAGTGCTCCCGGAACACAAGCTGTGAAACACTAGGTGAGCTTCGGGCAACTCCTGTCTCCTTTCTTGTTGGTTTCTTGGGACTATACCATCCTAGGCTTGAGTCCCAGCTAATGCCAGTCTTGACTAGGTGACCCTGACCATATCACTTAAAATCCAGGCCTCATCTGCAAAATGAGGCTAGTGTCTGGCCTTCAAGGAAGCCAACACTTGTATCAGCACAAAGCCTCAGAGTCAGGCGCTCAGGTGAGCACTGTCCGCGGATGGCCTGTCAGTGTGTGCTACATTCTCATGGCCACCTGCACCTGGATCTCTAAATGAAGCCCTGCGCCCCTGACAGTGTTGGACAGAGTTACACAGGCAGTTGTGGCTGGTGCCAAATGCAGACCATGTGGGCCGACTGCATTTGGCAAGGGTTTGACAGCGCTACGCTATCTGTGTCCCATGCATGAGATGTTTTCACTTCCAAGGATGTGTCTAAGAGCATCATCAGAGACCTATAGCAAGATTTCTCTCAAGGACATTAATCCCTACATCGTTAGGACTGGTGGTAATCTGAAAACACTAGAGAACCAATGCTGGGAATCAGATGAGTTATGGTACCTTTGTTTAGTGGAATCATCTGTAGCTATTAGAAATCACTTATGATATGTTGATGAATGGAAAAACCCAGGACTGTTTACCCAGAAAATACATCAAATGTAAGCAAAGATGATAGATCCTGGGAGTGGGTCATATTTATTTTTATGATGGTTTGCCATGTTTTCTGCGGTGTTTATAATATTTTTTAAAGCAATAAATGTTTTTAAAATAGGAAAGGACTGGGGATTTAGCTCAATGCTACAGAGTTCTTGCGTAGCATGCACATGAGGCCCTGGGTTCAATTCCCAGCACCTCCTGAAATAAATAAATATAAATATACGGTGGGGGTGAGCACAAAGTGCAAGGACTAGTACAGGCACGTCCCCATCTGATTGACAGTCAAGGAGCAGAATGAACAATACCAGATAAAGCAAGAACTTGCATAGAAGAGAGCAGAGACACATTTGTGTCCCTCTGTGAGGCAAGACTGGGCACAGTAGGAAGGGGTTCGTTGTTTGGCCAGGGCCTCGTGGCTGACAGGCATGTTTCCTGTTGGGTTTTTAGATCACTATGATCCTGACTATGAATTCCTCCAGCAAGACCTCTCCAACGCAGACCAGATACCTCAGCACGTGGCCTGCAACCTTAGCCCGCTGCCGGAGTCCTTGGGGGAGACTGGGTCTCCGTTTCCCAGCAATCCTTTCCAGCTGCCTCTTGGAAGCTGTCCCCAGTCTGAGGGACCCTCTGCCCTGGGGCGGCAGACAGACACACCACCTGCTTTGCCTGAGAAGAAGCGACGGAGCGCAGCTTCCCAGGCCTCGGACAGTGCTGGCTGCAGGGCATCCTATGAGCGGCACCCCTCGCAGTACGACAACATCCCCGAGGACGACCTACAGAACCCGGCCCCGGCCCCAGCTCTCCCCTACACGCCCTTCGCTGCTGTCCTCCCCTTTCAGCAAGGAGGCTCCTCAGCCCCCATCGAGTTTGTGGGTGATTTTACTGCTCCTGAGTCAGCGGGGGATCCAGAGCAGCCACCTCCTCTACCAGAGAAGAAAAACAAACACAGTAAGCCTCTGTCGAGCTCCATCAGGAAGTGCACTGTGTAAGCTAGAGCAGAGTGGGTTGGGTTCAGGTAGTTCAGGCATTAGTCTGAAGTGAAGCCAGGGGCCTGGGTGTTTCATGAAAGGGTGGCCACATCAGGGAGCCCTGTGCTCTCATCACTGACGGTTGTTTTCAAAGCTCCGTAAGTTGACCTCTCCGAAAGTGGTCTCTGTAAAGTCTCACGCTGGTCCCTTCCTGAGTGCTTGTCCTCTTCAGGTAGAGGCAGTTGACCTTTTGGCCTGAAGACACAAGTGTCGGGGCACGCAGGACAGGTTGCAGCAATATCTATGTAAAGTGAGGTGGATATTTGAACAGAACCCTCCTGGTGCCCACGGGGTGGTTTTCTAAGGACCCCCGTTTAGCAAAACACCGGGTGCACCCTGGGTACACACTGTCCTATCTGCAGATGCAGGACCGCATGCTGATAGAATGACCTGAGGTGGCCTGCAGGAAGGGCCGAGGATGCCTTGTGAACCAGATGTTTTGATAGAAATTACCAGCATTGGGGTGGATCTAAAACATTGAATACTTGTGTTTGGATATTTTCCAACTGAAGATTTGCCATAGAATTACTAAGCAGCGTTCTGGAAACTCCATTTCCTCCCAGCTCCCTAACTGTTGCACATCGCAGTCACCAGTCCCTCTGCCTCCCACTTCCCTGGCACTGTTCCCTGATTTTCCCTGGCAGACCAGCTGTCACCATTTTGATACATGTGGCCACAATGGTCCCAGGATTCCCTGGCCTGGGTGGAAGCATGCCACAGAACCCTACAAACTAGAAATAGGGTCTCCATTCCAGAGTGCAGACCAGAGCACCCCTCCTCTAAGAAAGGAGGAGGGGCTTGGTTAAAGTAGCAGGGCTGCCTTGAGCCAGCTGGACCTTGAGAGGAGGCCGCTGTGAAGGTGTGGCTTCCCCACTCCTCCCAGCGGAGGGAGAGCCAGCTCTGTGGGGCTAGTGATGTCATTCCCATCTGTCCTGGAAGCCTGCTCATTAGAGACCAGGGTACTGGTGAGGGGTACACAGCAGCTATGCCAGGAATGTCCCCTGGGCGTCTCCCTCAGCACAGGGAAGCCTTTAAGGAAGCCTTGGCCTCTCCTTCCACCCACCCTACCTGTAGCAGCATCCCCTTATGGACCCACCCCTTCCTTTCCTGAGAGTCCCTGGGACTCAGATATAGGGCAGGACTGCATCCCTGCAAATTCCACCAGACAGACGGTGCTGCCTGGCCTGGAAGCTAGAAGCCTTCCTCTCCCAGCTCTGAGAACAAGTGTGGGTGGCGGTTCCTGGGCAAAATCTGTAGAGAAGGAAGGGGAAGAAGGGTGGCCATGGTTCCTGTCAAGCGGTCTCAAGAGACTGAAAGTATCTTTCCCTGGGGCCAGGCACTGTGTGAGGTGCTCTCCACTGTGACTGGAGCACTTCACCTACAAATCTTCAGAAACCACGGGGCCAAGGTATGGTGTCCTGAGCTAAGTGTCACAGCTTGGCTCTCAAGTCCTGGCCACCTGAGAAGGCAGGTGTCATTAGCTTAGTCCTGGAGATGAGGGAGCTGGCACAGTGTGAGGGATGATGGCTCTTGGATGGCAGCACACTCCAAACCCTCCAAGCCAAGGAGGTCATCCAGCCCTCTCCTTCAACACCCCTCCAGTTTTCAGTAGTGACCTTATATAGTCTTTTCTGTGCTCTCCAAAAGAGTCCCAAACTTGAGGTACCCCAAGGCTTAGTCTTGGTCCAGAATCTGCTCTGTTCCCCTGAGAGGACCCTTGGAGACTTCCAGCCTGTGACGCTGTAAAAAAAAAGCATCTCACAAAATTGCTTTGAAAAGGTGGGCACGGTGGCACACATCTGTAATCCCAGCAGCTCGAGAGGCTGAGGCAGGAAGATCTCAAGTTCAAAGCCAGCCTCAGCAAAAGTGGGGCACTAAGCAACTCAGTGAGACCCTGTCTCTAAATAAAATACAAAGTAGGGCTGGGGATGTGACTCCGTGGTTGAGTGCCCCTGAGTTCAATCCCTGGTACCAAAAAAAAAAAAAAATTGCTTTTGGGGGAAGAGATCAGCACCATTCCTCACATTGAACTACTGCCAGATCAAACTCATACGTGTTCAGTCAGGTGTCACAGTGTGTCCTCGTCCTGGAGTGATCTGACATCTTGAAGGACCCTGGCCCCCTTGCCAAGGGCAGCTTCTTGGGTCCCTGGTGCCAGGGGAGCTTCCTGATTGCTGTCTGACATCTGAAGTCCCTACAGCCCCAGGGCCTAGCAGTGCCAGCCACTGAGCCTTCCCAACCGGGCCAGTGTGAACAGCCTCCAATCAGTTGCTGTTGCTTTGGAAAGGGACTGAGCTCCTTGTTTCAGGGGTCTAGAACACCACTGCCATTCCTGGCAGGAACAGGGGCAGGTCTCTACCAGGACCACATCGTCTGGAGTTCTATAGACCTGAAGGACCACAGCTTGCCAGAACACCAGGCAGAGGTGGTTGCTTGGTCCTTCCAGGGAGCAGATGGTAGGGTGCAGGTCGCCTTCCTGGGCTGGCATCTTCTGTGGAACTTGGTGTCAGTGGTGCAGCAGTGGTGCAGCAGTTGCACTGTGGCATGGGGCACCAGGAGCTGTACCCCACATGGCCAGGTCCGCCAGGAGCTGTACCCCGCATGGCTGTTGGAGCTAACAAGAAGGGCTTGCTTATTCTTGCAAGTGAGGAAGGACCTCCACCCCTTCCTCAGCAGAGCTCCAGAGGGAAGGACCATAACCCCGCTGAGAATGCCTCTGCCTTCCTGGATTTCCTGTGACCCCTGCTCGGGTTGTTTGGAAACGCAGTGTCCCGCACCATGGAGCCATCCTGGCCACCTTCCCTTGGCATCTGAACCTCAGCTTTGCCAGGCAAGGGCTATGGCACTGTAATGTGGTTTGAGGGGAAGGCGCTGGCTTAAGAGATAGCTGAGATCTACCCACACACTGACTTAGGTCCCATCTTCTGAACCCAGGTTCCCTTTTCTTCCCAGCTCTTGTCATCTTAGTTCCCTCTGTAAGTAAATTCATTGGTACCTTTTCTAACCAGGTGTCAAGAGGCCAAGAGTGTTTTCTTCCTAACATGGGAACTATCCCAGAACCCATGAGCCCCGCTGCCTAGAGAAAGGAGGACAGTACAGGATTCCAGGACACAGGTGTTTGGGGTGCCGGCCTTGACCTCAACTCTGCCGTGGGCAGTGTCAGGGCAGCACTAAGTCTGTGTTTGATGGAGATTAGAAGCTGGGCTTCTGCTCCATGCAGCCCTCACCACTGTGCGAGGTCACCAGGCAGCTGTGTGCTCCAGCCCACTTCCAGAGCCCTCTGGTCCTCTAGGCAGTGGGGCAGATCACTGACCCCAAAATCGGGAATGAAGCACACACTGATGCCCCACGGGTGCTTAGGGTGCCACACCTGCTTCATGGAGAGGAGCCTGCGGGGCAAGGACAAGGTCACTGAGACCTGACAGCTGAGCTCCTTGCTCTTCGGCTTCTCACTTCCCCAGCTGGGCCAGGCCATGCTGTGTAGGCAAGGGATGCTGGCCAGCCTGGACAGGCTGCTCCACATCAGGCTACCAGGACAGCAGGGGTGGGGGCTTCTACCAGGGCTAGAGGGGAAGAGGTCTGTTTTCAAACTTAAGCACCTTTTTCCCTCAGTGTCCATCCTTCCGTCAGGGGTGGCTTAGCCTTTCATCTTGAAGGGCAGAACTGAGTTTAGTAGCTGGCATTTTTTTGCACGCCCTGTGGGTGCTTTACCACACATACCCCAGGGCTTGGGGCTCAGGGCTCGTCTGATTCAGCAGGTTCCCAAGGACACTTTCTGAGGGCATGTTTCCCATTCCTCATTCTATGAGTGTTTATAGGCACACTAGGGACAGCACAAGCCAGACATGGTCCCTGCCTTTGAGCTTCAACCCTTTAGGGGAAGGCAATAAATCCTGTTGCGTGTGCGTGTGTGTGTGTGTGTGTGTGTAACCTAGGGCTTTGCACACGCTAGGCAGGTGCTCTGCCACTGAGCTACATTCCCAGCCCTTTATATTTTTGAGACAGGACCTCACTAAGTTGGTGGGGCTGGCCTGGAACTTGTGATCCTCCTGCCTCAGCTCCCCAGGTTGCTGAGATTGCAGGTGTGGCCACCAGCCTTCTTGCACCACGATCCTTCCCCAGAAGAGCTTGTGGTCCAGAGTCGTTTTCTCAAGGGATCAGTCGTGCCCCCTGCCCCACCCAGAAACGCCAAGAGTGTAACCCTCCAGTAGTTCCCCCTGTGTTCAGAATAAAGCCTGCTGCCCGCTGCCCTGTCCTGTTCACAGTGCAAGGTGGCCTCAAAACTGGGCCAGGCCCTCTTCACTGTCCCCTGCCTGCGATTCTTTGCCTGCCCACCCTCTTCCCAGCCTTGAAGGTCCTCTTTTGTCACATGGTTCGTCCACTGCACTTCACTTTTCTCTGTAGGACCAGTTTCCCCATGACTATATGTCTGTCAGCTGCCTGGAGAAGAAGATGTGCCCCACAAATGGAGGATGTGTCTTCCTGGCCCTGGTACAGTCCCAGTGCCTGTGCAGGTGCCCAGTGTGTCCAGTAGGCACATAGTAAATAAACTTTGTGAAGGTGGGAAGGCCACAGGCAGCTCACTGCAAACCACAAGAAGAGCCAAGGAGAACATGCCCAGGCAGCAGGGCACTGGGCAAGGGGAAGGCTACTTGTAGGAGCCCCCAAGCATTTAGCCACAGGTAGAATTTTTGGAGCAACTGGAAACGTGTGCAAACCCCAAGGTGGCAGCTGGAACCCAGCCCAAGGGCCAGGGAGGGCACAGGCTGGGACTGAGCTCCCTGTGAGTTGCAGCTGGAGAGCCCCACGGAGGCAGAGCCCATAGAAGCATCCCCTGCTAAGTGTTGCTGGAAAGCCCCGAGGGCTCTTCAGGAAGGGAGTGAGGCAGCCGGGCACCTTCCCTTAATCATTGTTTTTAGACAGTTCACAACACCGAGTGGGAAGGGAGGGACTTCCCACCTCCCCATCCTGCCCCCACACAACACACACCCCACGACCAGCCCTTCTGGAGCAGGACCTTTGGTTCCAGTGGATGAGCCTCGCTGAGGCACCATAGTTACCTGAACCTCAGAGTGCAGGGTGCTGCTCTCTGGGTCAGACGTGGGGAGTTTGTGGTGTCAGTGGTATCACGGTCCCAAGAATTTCCTGTGCTCTGCCTGCCCTCCCTCCCGATGTGCTTTCCGTGGAAGGCACCTGGCTACCATAGGAAGAGCGGGTGGGAGGGGCCCCTGGGTGGCCTGGGAGCGAGCATGCGAGGGCCTCCCCTGTCTCGCAGTGCTGGCCTACATGCAGTTGCTGGAGGACTATTCAGAGCCGCAGCCCTCCATGTTCTACCAGACGCCACAGAACGAGCACATTTACCAGCAGAAGAACAAGCTACTCATGGAAGTGTACGGTTTCAACGACTCCTTCAGTGGCGGGGATTCTCTGCAGGAACTGGCCCCACCGCCCGCCCTGCCCCCCAAACAGCGGCAGCTGGTAAGTGGCCTCTCCCCACCCTGCATCCTTGGCACTACCGTGAGTGGCAGCTTCAGATACCAACGCTGGGCCTCCCAGACCTATAGCCACCTTCCTGGGGGTAATTCAACCCCCATTTTGTCCATGACAGGGCCTGGGCTTGGGTGTTGAAGGTGCTGTTCCTTCTCTTCCCCCCAAGATGCTCCCCGGCGGCCTGTCTCACATCCTTCCATCTCCCCACCCTAGGCGTAGTGGGCCTTTCTTTTCCAGAGCAGCCCGTGCAGCTGGGATGGGCTTGTACACATAATGTTTGCTTTCTCTGCTGACGGTCTCTTGTATTTTTTCTTTCTTCTTTGGCTCCAATATAGACCTCCCAGAGAGGAGGGACTCAATTAAAGCACAGGGCATGGTCTGTGTACGACCATCTGTGGACTTTATTTCCATAATGGGCCTAGCTGTATGGAGTGACTTGCATCCCAGCCCTTGGCCGGGAATGGCCCCATGAGAACAAGCTCCATTGAAGCAGGATGGTCTTAGACAGAGCTGCTCTGTGCTGCAGACACGGCCCCTGTCCTCCTAAAACACCTCCGTGTCAAGGGTCTCGCAGAGGGAGTGAAGCATGAGTCATGCAGAAGGCAGAGTGTCCCGCTGGAGGCCACTGCCACAGTCCGAGACCTCGCTCAGCGTCAGCCCAGCAGGCCAGCCACGTACCCCAGGGCTCCAGCCTTCTTTTTACTACCAGGTGACAAACCTGGTGGGAATTGAGGGTCCAAGACTCAGGTCCAGCCACACTCTGCAGAGGGATGTCCTGACCTTTTCAGACCCTGACCTTGGCTTGTGCTGTTCTGCTCATATGCTGGCCAGCTGTAACCTATCTGTTGTGAGGACATGGTGCTGCCCCCTTTTCAGGGAGGCAGCTGCCAGCTGGGAACAAACAACCTTGGTTACTCCTGGTGGCCACCTGGTGCTTGATCTGGTTCCCGGAGTCCTGAGCCATCCTACCTATGGTGGGCACTGGCTGGCTGAGCAGGCTGTTGTCTCATCCCGAGAACCATGGACAGCACAGGCAGAGCAGCCCTGCCTGCTAGAGGAGGGGCTGACCTTGGGCTCGGGGACCAGGATTCCAGTCCTGCCACGCCAAGCTGTGTGCTGTGCTGTGTTCAGGTCTCCATTCTTCCTCTGCCCTGCCCTGCCCAGCCCACACCACTGACACATTAAAGATATGTCCCATGTTCCCTCAACTGTCCTTGGGCATCTTCTCCCTGCTAAGGAGCCCAAGGCAGATCCCTGATGGGCCTCTGGGATCAGAAGCCACTCCAAGGGAGCATCCTGCCTGCTGCACCAGGCTGGCAGCGTGGGAGCAAAGTTAGCCCCAGGAGAGGCCTTAGGAGAGGTTAGGACACCTTATTGAACACCTCCCTCCCCAGACAGGCCCAGGAGCGGGCATGTGGCTCCACATGGTCCTCACCACAGCCCCTGTTGTAAGTAAACAGGCTGAGGACCAGAGAGACTTCTCCAAGACCACAGCTAGTCAGAGATCAGAGCCCATTGACAGAAGCTCAGGCTCACCACATGACAAGCCGTGCTGGCTGGTGGTCACGCCCTGTCCCTAATGTACACGGGGAGGCGTTAGGCACATCTTACAGACAACAACAGCAGTAATTACTTATGGCCTTGCATGTTGGTAGACTTGGCTCCATCTCATCAAGTCCTCCCCACACCCCATGCAGGAAGTGCCAGAGCATACCCCATTTTATAGATGGAAAACCTGAGGCACTGAGGTCTTTCAGGAATGTCGAAGGCCCAGCAGGTGGTCAGTGGCAGGGTCTAGGTTCAAACCCAGGCAGCCTGACCCTACCTGAGCTCTGCTCCCTAGGAGGAGCTCAGAGCCCAGTGTCAACCACATCTGTGGCTCCAGCCCACCTGTCCCCTGGCTGTAGTCCACCTGAGAGTTTGCCTAGCAGATATGTCATAAGGAAGTAAAGGGGTCTTTTCTTCAATCTTGGCAGAGCTTCTGGTCCCTGAGCTGGGCCAGCAGGATTAGGGAGCAGCCTCCTCAGCCTTTGCCGTCGCGTGCTGACCGTTCTCTGCTCTCTCCCTTCTCCCTGCCTTTTCTCGCCCCTCTGCCCAGCAGGCCTCCTATGCTGCTTCTTCCTTCTCCTCTGTCTCCTACTGTGTGCAGCAAACTAAAGTGGCCTTCATCCCCGAGGACGGCAGTGCCACTCAGGGCCTCAGTGTGTCCGTGTCTAACTCCTTTCTCAGCCGGCACGGCAGCTTGCCTGTGCCCTCGGTGAGTCACTCCCCGCTGCTCTTCACTTGGAAACTGCGCACCTTCCATTCTTCTGCAGCCTGTGCCTCACGGACATAGGTGCTACCGCCCACCACTTCCTTCTGCAGAGCCCTGCACATAGGTGGGAAAGGGCGTGAGCACTGATTCTCTGGGGCCTCGAGGATGGACGGCTGCTGGGTGGGCAGGAGTGGGGAATTACGCACAGCCCTGTTGGCAGCGTCAGCACTCCAGCATGGAGGACAGAGCCATCTGGGCCTTTTTCTCTGCTCTCCCACTGGGCCTGATGTCAGTCCTCCAAGTGTTCAGGAATGTTTAAAAGGGAATGTTCTTCATTCCTCACGTAGGAAGAAAGGCCAAGGAAAGAGCAGCATCACCAGGTAGGTGAGAGTGAGGTGAGGCTGTGTTCGGGAGCTTTTGCTCTGTGGCTTAGCAAACCACATTTGTCATTGCATAGGACACAGGCTAGTGGGATGGCTGGGCTGATCTGGCCAAGGCGTGGCTGATCTGGCGACACTTGCTAACATCTCTGAGACCTCAGCTGGGACAGTTGGCTGGTGTTTCTGTCACATCTGTCAGGCTGGCCTGGGCTTGTTCTCATGGCACCTGGCAGGGTTCCAAGGAAACAGCGGAACTGTACAAGGCACCCTGAGGCCTGAGCCCAGGACTGCGCAGCATCACTTCAGTCACAGGTGCTCAGTGAGATCACAGGGCTGCCCAGATCCAGGGAGGAGGAAGGAGACCCACCTCCTGGGGGAGGTGCAGGCTCTGGCCCAGGCCAGCACAGGGAGGGTTGCAGCCATTTCTATATAGTTCACTACCGACACTACAGAGCACAGCTTCTCCCAGAGCCTGCCTCTGCCCAAGAACCAAAATAGCTATGCATTCCTGCTGATCTTACCCCAGTCCACCCTCTGTAAATGGTGAGTTTGGACTGAGTAACTTGAGAAACTTGCCCAAGCCCAGTTTTCTCTGGTGTCCGTCTGTGCCCAGGACAGCAATCTAGCACCCAATTCCAGGTTAGCACTCCCTGACCTTGGAGTGGACCTTCTGTGGCGTGCTGGGCACTCTGCAGAGCCCTCAGCAGCCTGGGTGTGCTGGAAAGCTAAGCACTGCCCTCTCCATCCCACCCCGGCAGCCACTTGGACACCTGGACTCCTCAGGAGGCACCTCCAGCAAGCTGCCATGACTCTTGCACAAAACTTGGCTGATAGACAACCCAGCTCTTGACTGTTTCCTTCCCATGATGTTGGCAGAAAGTGTGGGTTATCCTAAGAGATTCTCCGGAGCCCCTCTGAGCACCTAGTGGTTGGAGAACTGTGGCTGAACTGGAATGTTAACATTCGAGGGCATTTTAGCTAAGCTTGGTTATGCATGTGTCTTGGTTTTCATCCATGGGACACAGGGCATCTTAAGGCAGCTTGCATCTCTCATACTGCCTCTCAGCACCAGCTCCAGGAGGGAGCCCGAGGAGGCCGAGCTAATCGGGTGCTTCATTTCATTAAAAGGAAAGTCTTTCGAGAACCATTGGTAGTGGCCTGTTTGGAGCATCTGTCGTCTAACCTGCTGAACCCCAGAGAAGTGATTCTGTTTTAGGGCACCTTACTCATCCTTGTCTCTGATTAGACGTCAACATGAGCCCAGGCATGAGGTTTTGCCTCACAGTTAGAGCAGCCCTTGGTCCCTGTTCAGCCCATGTTCCTGGGCCTGTGTTGGTCCAGCATAGAATTCAGGGGGGCACCCTGGGAATGTAACAGTTGTCCAACCTGGAGGGACCTGTCACGGTTCTTGGTGCAGTGACCTGTACCTTCTACTAAAACATTCATTCTAACCTTGAAACCCTCTTGCCAGGGGAACTTGTAGCGCAGTAAACCTACATTGGATGATGTGCTGAAGTGGGAGCTGAAGGAGTGTTCCTGTTCACTCTTCCCCAGGACCCCGAGAGGGGTTTAGCCAGCACACCGGGATGTCCCCAAAAATTTCAAGAGGGGTGAAAACAGATGGTCCCATGCCCAAGAGGAGCTTGCAGTCCTGCAGGCTGAACAGACAGACTTGGGTTCTGGCAAAGTGTAAACAGTGGTGTGGGACTCACAGAGGGGGCAGATCAGGGTGACAGCACCTCATGGGGTGGGGCTGGAACTACAACTTGAAGGACACTTGGTTTCAGGGAGTTGAAGGGCAGGGAAGTCAGCCAATTGTGTCCAAGCCAAGAGCCTGCCTCAAGGGTGGAGGGTCATCCCTAGTGCAAGCTCCCAGGGATTGAGGTTGTAGGAGAGAGGTCAGAGGGGCTGGGGCAGTTCCAGCCTCCCGCCCTCCACTGGGAAGAGCCAGTTGCCCACCTCGGGTGCCACCTACTTACTGAGCTTGCTGCATGGCCCATGAGCTCAGGCCAGTCTTTCATGTGACCTAGGCCTACAGGTCAGGCCCGAGGCAGGCTGTAGTTCTTGCAGCACCCCGTCTTCCCCTCTGCCTCAGCCCCACCCACAAGTGCCCTCAGTCAGTGGAGTGTCAGCTCCTGGCTCACAGATGCCCTTTCTTTTCTGATAAGGGCCATAGTCCTTGGAGGTCTGAGCAGCAGCACAGACCGAATCTAAATCTTCTGCATGTCCTCATGCAGGAGCACTAAAACTAACCGACAGGAGAAAGGCATTAGGGAGGGTGACAGAGGCAGTCAAGGAAGGTGGAGAGAAGCAGGCAAGGTCTCCTGGGGCCCAGGGGCTGGAGAAGCTGCCCCTCCCAGAGGCAGCACTGCTGCTGAGCCTTCTGCCCTCTCCCTGTCGCAGATTCTCCCTCCAGGGCTGTCTGGGCTCTTGCCTTCTGAGCTGCCTGCCATTTCCACCTCACCCATTCCCTCCACATCCTGTTTCCCAGCCGTCTCCTCTACCTGCCCTTTCCCTATTCTGAACTCTGGTTGTGCAAATCTTGGAAGTTTAGGGCTTGGTCCATGTTCTTGTCTCCCTTGACCAGATATCATTGAGTCTCAGGGACCACAGGGTGGCCAGTGCTCTCCAGGCCTTGCAGTATTCCTGCATCTCTTGCTGTCCTCTTGTGCCTCCTCCCTTTGCTAGCATAAAGTGATGGGTGTTCCAGCAGTCTGCCATGTTTCTTTTCCATCTTGACTGCCAGATGGGTCCTCATGAGTAAAACTGCCCCCCCTCCCCGTTTCAAGAGGGTATTTGATATCCCAAAATAACTGTTATTTGTTTTAAAAGAATCTTTGGGATGAGAAAGTGAAAGGTGTGTCATGTGAGGACCTCAGGTTTTTATAGGGCCTGGGTAGCAGCTGGTACCTGTCTACGTACAGCAGTCACCTTCCTGAGATGGGGGAGCCAGGTGTTTGTACTGCAGCACACATACACTCTCAAAAGGCTGAGCCTCTGCCCTGGCTGTCCCCTCACTGTGAGGCAGCCTTTCCAGCCAAGCCGGCTCCTGACACTCCTCCAGTGCATCCATGTCTCTTGCTCACTTGCTGTACCCGCCCCCCCAACCTCCTGGCCATGACCATCCCTGAGAATTCACTTAGCAACCATCATAAAGATCATGGGAATACCAACTGGTCTAAGCCAAACAGGAAGTGGGGAGATGAAGATGGAACAGGAGACAGACTGAAAAGGGACATTGAGGGCCTTGTTTCTCTACCATGTTCTGACACTTCACCGAGGGTAGCTAAGGCTCTAAGTAGACTTCTGTGCAAAAGTAAGTGAGAGCTCCTGTCATGCTGCTGAACTCCAATGTGTGTAAAAGTAGTCCCATTAGATGGCTAGACTGCATTTGGATCCTATTTTAATCTGAACTAAGCTTCCTCTAGAGTTGATGCTCTCAGATCAGCATTTGGTGAACATACAGAGCACCCTCAAGTGCCCTGAGGTTTGCAGGAGGATGACTGTCAAGGGCCCTGGGGCAGGATGCATCTCTCAAGGGAGCTCTGTGACATTGCAGGGACATGTCACTTCTGCATTTGCCACTTTACTACCCAAAACCCTCCCAAGCATGACATTTTTGTTGTCACATCCTAAACCACTAAGGCGTTTGTTCCAACAGGAAGAGGGTGTCTTTTGGGCCTGACATGCTAATGCCACCTTTCTCAGTAAGGCTAGTGCAGACATCATTCCCACAAAAAAGCATCCCCAAGTGCCCTCCTTGCTGGGTGCAAGATAAGCAGCCTGTGAGAGACCTTGGGCCCTGGAGCTTGCGACATCTGCCTCACGGTTTGCCGTTTGACTTTGGAAGCTCATCCTCTGTCATTACATAAAATGTGATCATTTTATAAAGAAGGGTATTGCCTTTGGGCCCAAGGTGGACCCACATGATGACTTTTGTAATCTGCTGGTTGGGACCAGGAATGAGAGAAGGAAGTGGCAGAGCTGTTCCCTCCAGGTTGCCACGTGGTGTAAGGAGTGTCTCTCCTAGGAATGATCACATGCCATCTCCATAAGAACACATCAGACCAGTGTCTCCCCAGGCAACTCTGCAGAGCACTGTGCACTGACTCCCTTCGAGAACAAATCATGCCACTGGCAAGCCCTGTTGAAGGGAGTATGCTCTGAGCCAGGGACAGTGCTGACAGTGGTGCCTGGCAATTCACAGGGAGAGCCCATGGCACACTGGAAAGTAGCTTCTCCTGGGTGTGTTTTCTCACAAACAAGGGATTAAAATTGTAAGCCTGAAAAGCAGCTGTCCAGTAGCTCTTCTGTTTTGTGCATCCAAAGGCACTGATGTCCTGAGCCTTGGTGAGCTACAGCTTACTAAGCAGCACCCAGTCTCTGGCAGCTTCTCTTCCCTAGCGCTCACCTGTACAGGGAGTCCATTCAGTGGCAAAGCACTTTCCCTACTGCTGGTAGAGCTGAAGCCCTGCAAGGCTGGGCGCTCAAGTACCTGCAAAGCAGCATTTAGCCAAGGTCCCTGGGCCTCTGCTCCAGCCCTACCTCCCAGGTACAGGCTGCCTTCCCTAACACCTGGGGTTTCCTGAACATCTGGAATTAAATGGAGTGGCTGTTGCATTGAGGACTCAGGAACTTTCACTTGGAGATAAATTTTCCTGCTTTGCTTTTTTGCCAAAGCAACCACGGCCCATCCCTGTCCTTTTTCATGCTAGGACTAAAGTGCAGAGGAAACTGATGCCTACCAGCTTCAGTTGGCTCCACCTTCACACACTGCTCACAGTGAACATCGAAGGCTGTCCCTCAGCCTCTACCTTCTTTTTCACTTAACAACTTAGGAGCACTCCCAGGTTTGTGTTCTCAGAAGAGCTGGCTCTGCCTCCACCTTTCCGGTCTGCCCTGGAATACTGGCCCAGACCCACTCTGCACCCCTGGATCACTGCCTTTCCCGCACTCGGCAGCACACAGCACTCAGGATCCAAGCAGTCAACGGGCTGTATGCTGCAGAGGTAGGGGGTTGAGGCAAGGTCTGGTCATGTGCCCAGAATGAACCTCTGAATGTGGTACAGGCCAGCCCAGCACCACCTCTTGCTAGCTGTGAGTTATTAGGTGTGTGGTCTCAATTTATTCATTGTAAGGATCACAGTAGCAGTTCCCACATGTTAAATGAGAAGATCCATATAAAACTCTTGGCTTCTCATCTGCCCAGCAGGATGTACTCAGTGAGGGTAACAGTCCTTGTCCTCAGTGGTCCTTGCTAGTTCTGTTTTCTTGGTGCTGGGGAATGAACCCAGCAGTATGCTGCCAAAGAGCTACATCTCCATCCCTTTTTTATTTTTTGTTTTGAGATGGCCTTACTAAGTTGCTGAGGCTGGCTTTGAACTCGTGATCCTCCTGACTGACTCACTGCAAAATACAGGCCTGCGCCACCGTGCCCAGACTTGCTGTCATTTTGACTGACTACATCCCTATCCTACCTGCTTACTTACCTTAGCACCCCCAGATCTCCTGCAGAAGTTTGTAGGGGCCAGACAGGAGCACCTTGTATTCTAGAATCTACAGCCCAAATGGTGTCACTTTGGCTATAAATAAAAATTCCTGCAGCACAGAGAGCAGCAGCTTGTCAAAAGTACAGCCAGGCACCAACCAAAAATAGCCTCCAGGCTGGGGCTGAGTGGCGTGGTACAAAGTGGCCGTCCCTACCCTCCCTGCCCTGGGAATGAGCACAGTCTCAAAGGGACTGGAAGTATTTCTCTAGGGAAATGATAGAAACCCGGACTTGTTGAAAATGGTGTGACTCTGAGCCCCAGCATGCTTCGTGGCATCTACAGAACTGTGAAGAAACCAGGATGCACTTCATGATGATTCAAGAGCCTTCCCTGGCACCTCCCACCTGCCAAGGTGCAGTATCGTTCAGGCCTGGCTCTTGTCCAGCACGAACACATAGCTGGAATGCCAGAATACAAGCTGGGGAGAGAGGGCATCCAGGCCCCTTTGTCCTAGAGATGCCAACTCTCCACTCTTCTCCTTCCTCCCTGGTGACATCCCTGAGCCTCCTTCCCTCTGTTCCTGGTCTCTGAGCCCAGGCAAGTGGCAAAGCTTTTTCCTTACCTTGCACACTCACAGCTGAGGCACTGCTGCTGGTCAGCCAAGGCCTTGGCATGTTAATAATAGAATCAATTTCTAAGTGTTTGTTCATCTAGCAAATATGTGTCAGGCTGCTCTGTAGTGCTCACCCTGTGATTTATAGTAGCTCCTATGCTGGTATTTGGAGGGCAGGACAGGACATTCCTTTATTGAATGGCCACAGACTGAAGTGCTGTCATTTTCATCCCCATTTTAAAGATGAACTTAAATCCCTTGCCCAAGGTCACAGATGGGAAGGTGATAAGGGGTCAAGCCATGCCTAGGTGACTTGAGGACTGGCATCCAGCTGTTCCCTGTACCTCTCCCAGAAGTCCATGTGGAAGTCTACCCTGAACTTGCCATATCAAATCTTGTCGCACACACCCGGTAATCCACTTGGAAGCCGCTTCCTGAGTGTGAGGTCTTTGAGGCTGCACGAAAGCCATTTGTGTCTGTGAGCCAGGGCTGTTTCTTCAGAGCACTTCCTGCCTGGGTGCTTGGTGTGAGGCCCGTGGGTGTGAGGGTAGGGCATTACTGAGAGCTGCCCTGGACTCCAGGAAGAGTCTGCCTGGGGGTAACTCTTAAATCAGGTGGCAGCAAGTAGGTGGATCTGCTGACTGGAGGCCGCACCAGTCTCTGGAGAGGGAGCAGCCAACAGAACTGAGAACCCAGCTCTGCAGGGGACAAAGCCACGGCCTGAGAGTCCTTCGGGGTCCCCGCAGAGCAGCCTCTCACACTGTACACCCCAGCCAGAGAAACACAGGAAAACCCAGAGTCCCCAGGCCTATGGAGCCACCCACAAGCTGCTGGAGGGTTCAGGGGAGTGTGGCACTGCTGTGGCTCAGGGCGAGAGTCCACAGCCTGGGTGAGAAGCTGGGCCTCTGCTCCCTGTTTCTCTAGGTGGGTGCATGTGCATGGAGCTTCACTGGCCACAGGAGTCGGGGTGTCTGACGTTGATTGGTCAGAACTTGCACAGCACTTCCACTAATTTGCTTAACCATGGCCAAGGGCTAGCCTTGAGTTGGTGAATTAGATAGGGAAGTGAAATGTGTGGGTCCCTAGGGCAGGCGTCCCAGGTCCAACACAAACCAAGAGCCTTGGAGCTCATAGGGCAAGAGGGTCATGGCCTCCCTGAGGGTGAGGACAGGAAGAGCTTTGAGCTCTGATGAGCATGACCGGGTGGGCTGCCACACGGTGGATAGAGGACGGACCTGTGCCTCGCGTTGCTGCAGCTGAAGGGGAGCTTGGCACAGCCACTGAGGGACATAAGAGTTTCGACCTCCTGTTAGTCTACACCTTTGTCTCTTCTTCCTTTCCCTGATTCCCATGGTTTGTTTTTATTTAGGGGGATTTTGTTTGTTTCTTTTTGTACTGGGGATTGAGCCCAGGGGCATTTTACCCCCATCCTTTTTATTTATTTGTTTATTTTGGTATTGGGAATTGAATTCAGAGGCACTTTACCACTGAGTTTCATCCTCAACCATTTTTATTTGTTTTGACTTTGAGACAGGGTCTCTCTGAGTTGCTGAGGCTGACCTTGAACTTGTGATCCTCCTGTCTTGGATTGCAGGCAAGGCCAGCGTGTGCAGCACGCACAGATTTCCATGGGTTCCGAAAGTCCCGGGCCACAGCAAGTGCAGAGGGGCAATATACACCTTCGTGTTGGCGTGTGTGGTGGGCGAAAACTTAAGGCACCGTCCCTCCCATCACTGCTCTCCTAGTCCCTAGGGGGGTCAGCACGCATTGGCAGGTCTCTGCTGGGCATGTCAACATCATCAGGTTCTCAGCTTGGTGGCTAGATCCCGGCCTTGGGGAGTGCTCATTAGACCTGAAGCTGGGGACACGTGGAGGTGCTCCTCAGTCTGCTGTCTGGCTCTTCTGTCTGATGAGAGTTGGGGTGGCGTGGGAAGTGCTGTGAGATTGCTGCGTTTGCCTAAAAACAAGGCAGTGGAAGAAAAGCGGAAGACGAGGCTGCCTAGGAAGGGAAGTGAGGGCACCGACATTTTGGCCTCCTCGGCAGCAGGCTTCTAGCCACTCAAGGCTTACTCACACCCTTCCATTCTAGCAGGGCTTTAGGTGGATGACAATGTTTAAAAGGTTGCAGAATTTGTCTTTTAAGGGATAAACCAAAGGGATTTGTCTGAAAGATTCACCATGGATACATAGAGTGCAGCATGGAATTCAGCCCCCCAGTTCCTGGAAGCACTCAAAGGTGTTGGGCTGGGTTGTATAGCTTTAATTTTCTGCCGCAGAGGAATGCGTGGCCATCTGCATGCTGAGTGGGATTTGCTGTCCTTGAGGGAAGGAGGGGGGTGGCCTGCTGCTCGGACACAGAGGACCATTCTGGTCAGTCCTCAGCCCCGAGGGCCCTCTCTGGGGAGCAGTGAGGGGTGCGGGGCCTCAGAGCTGGAGGACGCAGGAGTTGGCCTGGCGCGCTGGCCCTGGTAGGTGGAGTTGGTGAGAACACCTGCCGCCGTGCAGCCAGCTAATCTAATGACTTCTTCTCTTGTCTGTCTTCTCCTTCCCGTATTCTCGTTTTTGTGTTTGTTTTCTGCTTTGATTCTGTAGTACAAATCTGTGTTTAGGTCCTACTCCCAGGACTTCGTGCCTCACCACCAGGCTTCCGTCCAACCTTTCCTTCCGCCTACCTCCTCTTCCTCTCCGCATTTCCCACCTGTCCACCCGTCTCAGAGCTCGGACTTGGCGGTGCCTGCCGTAGCCGGTCCGCCTCCCAGCACCATGACCGGGCCTCTCTCATCCTCTCAGGAGAGCAGCTTTCATGGGAACACTGTCTGCCTTCCTTCCGAAACCTCTTGCGCTGACTCGGTGAGAACTCAGCACGCACACGGCTGCACGTGGGGCTGCGCGGTGGTAGGAAGTGGTGTTGCTGTTCCTCACCAGCAGTTCAGCGTGCTGCTGGGGTGTGCCTGCTGGCACCCAGCTGGATTGACAGCCACAGAAGGTCGGGGTGCAACAGCAGCCCGTCTGCTTCAGAACAGAAATCAAGGCTCTTACACAACATTACCATCCAGCTAGGAACCTGGTTTCCCCTCGTGGACTAGTGTAACGGTCAATAATGCCTGGTGGGGTGGTGCATACCTGTGATCCCAATAGCTCGGGAGGCTGAGACAGGAGGATCGCAAGTTCAAAACCAGCCTCAGCAAAAAGCGAGGCACTAAGCAACTCAGTGAAACCCTGTCTCTAAATAAAATACAAAATAGGGTTGGGAATGTGGCTCAGTGGCTGAGTGCCCCTGAGTTTAATCCCTGGTACCAAAAATAAAAATAAGATAAAGGCAGTAACTTGTGGTAAGGATAAGATAGATAACCGGCGTTCTGTTTGAAGAGAAAGGCACAGACCCCTCTGGAAATAGGAAGTGTCAAGAGATCCAGGAGGTGCCAGGGAGAGGCCTCGTTTACTGTGGATGGCCCTAGTGCTTCCTCTCTAACCCTGGGCAGAGCTTCCTTTCAGACTGGAGGGCAGGTGGGAGGGGGCAGGTGGAGGGGCAGAGAGGATGTCCACAGGAGGCTTCCTCTTCTTCCAGCCTGAAGTTGTCAAACATGTTGCTTCTTTCCCTGCCTTTGGAGGCTACCTTTCCAAAGCCATTCCCAGGATGGCCCTCGACACCTGTGGGGAAGATCCAGCCAAAATTAGGGTCCCCACAAGCCCAGAGACAAGAGTTGGCAAAAGCAGCTTCATCCTCTGACCCTGGGGAAGCACTTCCCAGAGAGAGTAGAGCACAGCTCTGGGTCTTTCTTGTAAAAGGAGCATCCAGGTCCAGGCCAGACCTGCTGGCTGCCCTCTGAGCCAGGGACTGGCTGGAGGGCCTGCCGATCGTCTCTCCTCTCATCCTGTCTCCCCCAGAGCGAAAACGCCAGTGAGGAAGCTGGTGAGGGTGAATATGTCAGTCTGTATTCCTCTGGCCAGAGCAGCGAGGAGCTGGCTCCCTCTCGAGGAGTAAGTAGCCTCGGACGGTGGCCTCGTGCATGTGGCCCAGCCTGGTGGGGCTGGCTCCCGCCCCCCCAGGCCACCTCCCTTGCACCTGCTTCTGTTTGGCTGAGCCCTGCAGGCCTGCGGAAAGCTGGTTTAGCCAGGGAGAGGTTGCAGCTTCTAGGTGCAGGTCTTCACCTTCGCCTGCTTCAGTGGGTATGGTGCTTTTCAGAGCCTGGCCAGGTGTGTCTTCCAGAAATCTCCAGAAGCAGCCTGGTGTGGGCCCTGGCTGCAAGTCGCTTTCTGTGGGATTTCTTTCCATCCCTCCTTCTAGTCATGAGCTCCATCTTCTGTCCTGCCCCAGTAGGAGGGCTGCTTCTCCCACTCAGCCTTTCTGACACTCCCTCCTCTTCTTCCCAGCATGCTTTGCTCCTACCTAGCTGCTCCTGAGGAAGTGCCCCTGGAAGTCCTGGCCATCGTCACTCTCATGTTGCTGTCTTGACAGCTCTTGACAGTCAAAGTGCACTGGTTCTGTTTGTTGAGTGTCAGTTTTCCAAGTTTGGCTTCATGAAAATGAGCAAGTCCAGAAGCTTCAGAAGCCACTGTCCCCATGAACCTGAGTGAGACAGGTTCCATCAGAGTCATGTCAGTGACTACCATGAGGGCAGCCCAGCCCTAGAGAGCATGGCCACTCCCTTGGGGTAGTCTGCTGTGGGACCTTAGGGATCGAGATGTCCTCAGCAAGTCAAAGAGCACTGAGGGATCTTTACACCCAGGGGCTTTGACCTTGGCTGTGGAGTGAGCTGCTGTGCCTTTCTCACCTGTCCCCTCTGGTTACCTGTGCCACCAGGACCATCCTGACTTCCCCCACCTTAAAGCACCCTCCTGGTGATGTCGCCTGTATTAACACAGTCCCAGTTCTCCGTTGTAGCCTTGGTGGCAACCAGGGATGTTGTAGAGCTATGGTGTCACTGAGCAGGGCAACAGCAAGTCTCCTGGGGATAGTCACACAGTATTTGAGCAGCTAGACTTTTGGGGAGTATCACTTGTTGAGCATCACATCCCTAAAAACTCTCTAAGTTTTACAGCACAGTGTTGGGACCCAGTGGCTTAGGGCACAGGCTCTGGAGATAGACAGCTCTGGGCTCCATCTAGGCTCTGCCATTTTCAATCTGTGTGCAGTCAGGCCCTTGATCCCTAGCCTTTGTTTCTACACGTGAGAGAAGAGGGTAGCATTAGGTCATTGATAGGGCGGAAGAAGAGTGTGTGCAGAGCCCTCCGCCCAGTGTCCAGCGTGCTCTGAGAGGCAGCTGCTAAGAAGGTTCCCTCTCTCCAGGCGGGCATTAAGGTGGCTTCATCTGCCCAGCAGCTGACATGTTACAAAGCATGCACCTCCACTCTCCTGAGGCAGGATGCTAGTCTCAAGAGGGCCCATGTGTCTTGTAATTAACTGCATTCAGCATTAACTTGTTCCCACCTTATATTCCTCCATAGGAACTTGCACTTCAAAGCCACTTGCAGGTGGGAGTGCTGGGCAGACAGATTGCCCCTGGAGCAGGCCACATTCCAAACCCCAACACTCACTTCTCTTCGCAGGAATCACCAGCTGGGAAAGACGGACATTCCAGAGATCCCTCAGCTGTTGGCAGTGCCCCTGGGAAGGACAGCAGAGATGGTGGTGAAAGGTAGGAAGTGAGCCAGGTGCCTAGAGCAGAGTGGCCACTTGGTAAAGCCTGCCTGCACTTCCTGCAGCCAGCCCACCAGGCCTGCTTGTGTTTCGTATTGAAGGTATTTCTTTGTCTGGTTCTCAAAATAATACATGCTTCTGGTAGAAACTGCAAGAAAATGGAAAAAATCACTGATAACCTCAAAGGTGCTCCCCTGGGGTCTGCCATTCCTTCCTGGCTGCTCTAGGCCATCCACCTTCCAAAGTACCCACGATAGTCTTGCCTTTTCTTTTTTAAATCTCAGGCCAACCTTCCTTAGTGTTTTTTTTTTTCCAAGTTGAGGTCCCCTGGGAGCATGAAAGGCCTCCACCCCTGCCACCCATAGACTTGTTTTTGTGAACATTGCTGGACCTATGTATGTGTATTGTGTTGCTAAACCATGCTGAAGGAAGCTACAGAAGCTGTGACTCTGGAAGCTACAGAGGCTGTGACTCTGGCCTCCAAAAAAGTCCTGATTACAATATCATTATCACCCTAAGAAAATTGCCAGTAAATTCCCTCATGTCATCATGATAGGCAAATCATGTTCCAGTTCCTCCATTCTCCCAAATTTTCATAACTAAGATCAGTCAAGAGTCATGCAGTCTATTTAGCTGTTTCTTTCTCTTTCGGAACATTTTCAGTGTTAGCAGAAGCTAAGCCCAACCAGGCTTAGGACGTGTAGTCAGTTTCTCCAGCACTTCTGGGAACAAATGGGCTGCATCCTGCCTGCAGCTTTATGTTGATGTCACCTCTATCGTGACACTTTCCATCTGTTCAAGTTTTTCCTCCAAGGACCATCTACCCTGGAGTCCTAGGTGGTCCTAGCAGATTATCTTCCCAGGCTGGCTTCAGCAAGGAATGGTGGTTTTCTAGCTTAGCACTTAGAAGCAAAGCAGCTTGTGAGTTCTCTCACCTACTTCGTTGGACCAGCGGATTTACTTTCAGAGCTGAGATGGTCCTTGCAGAAGAGTAGGTCACACCGAGTCCAGAAGCAGCCGCTAAGATGGCCCTTCACGAGGCCACCCACAGCCTGGAGCCTGGAAGCAGGCAGCAGAGGGGTTCTTCCCAAGTCCGCCTTGTTCTACCCCCTAGAGTCACATATTTCCCGTGTCTGAGCCCTTAGGGTGAAAGCTGTGACCTGTGACCACAAGTCAGGCCAGTGCCTCCAAGGATCCATCCAGATAAGGCACCAGGGCAAAGATGGCTGTCTACAGACATGCTGTGCTCCCCCCACGGCCGCCTGGCCTCCACATTCCCTCTGTGGGGATGTCCCTGCTCCCGGTGCCTCAGCCGCCAGCTCCTGTTCAGTGCTTCAGGTCTCGGCCTGTCTATCCCTCCACAGGGAACTTCCTGACCTTCAAGCCGGCCCCCCCTTCCCCCCACTCTTCTTGCACACTCCTGAGCTTCCCCTCGTTGTTCTGCTGACTGCCTGTGTCAGAGTGTCTTCGGCTAGACCGAGCACCTGGGGAAAAGGGGCCATATCTACTTGGGCACAGCTTTTTTCTTATTGCCGAACAAAGGGACCAACAGAGTGAGTCCTCAAGAGGGACTTGGAGGGTGGTATGGGGCGATACCGCCTCCTCTCCTGTCCTGCTGGCCCTCTCACTGTTCCTCATGTACTGACTGGGTCTCGGTGGCCTTCGCAGAGAAGGGCTGCAGCATCACTCACACAGACAGTTCAGGGGCACCTCTTAATCCCAGCTAAGCCCTTCTGTGAGACACCCAGAGGGAACAGGAAAGGTTCAGGGCCACACAGCTTTTGGTAGCAGAGGTAGGAATAGTTCTGACCTCGAGCCCAGGCCAGCGCTGCCTCGGCCTCTGGGTGTCAGGGAGCCCAGGGCCTGTTTTAAGCACCAACCACTTCTCTCTCCAGGTCCCCAAAGTCACCTGACACTCTGGAGTCAGCTCAGTCGGAGGAGGAAGTAGATGAGCTGTCCCTTATTGACCACAACGAAATTATGGCCAGGCTGACACTCAAGCAAGAGGTAAGGACTTCACAGTCCAGCCCCACAAAGCAGGAGCAAGAGAGATTGAGGAAAATGTGACCTTGAAGTGTCTCCAGCAGAAAGACCTGGGCCAGGCAAGGTGTGGACACTTGGCGAGGGCTGTTGGGTTCCCAGCAGGAGTGGATTCCAGGAGGCAGTGGACTGTCCCCTCTCTTACTGCTTCTAGAAAGTGTCTTGGGCATTACAGAACCTCCCGAAGCCCTAATGATGGCACTCCTGAGAGTGCTGTGAGAGAAACCACAGCAGAGCTACACAGCCTGCCTGCCGTCCGGGAGCCCTCCCCACCCCTGTACATCGTTGATAAAACAGAACCCCTGCCCAGGATGTACCCGCTGATTAGGAAAACTTAGGGCTGGAGAAGAGACTCAGTGGGAGAGCACTTGCCTCACATGTGGGAGGCCCTGGGTTCCATTCCCACCATTGGAAAAAAAAAAGAAAAAGGAGAGGCCAGGCCTGGACTCCTGCATGGTGTCCTGGTCTACAGAGCCCGGATGTGAGGACCATACCCAGACCTATCACTATAGAGGAAGGAGCAGAGCCATGTGAGCCCTGCCTCTCCCTTCTGCCGAGCAGTGCTGCAGACACAGGACTGGCCTTGTAAGAAGCTTGCCCTAACTAGGCACAGTGGCACAGGCCTGTAGTCCCAGCTACTTGAGAGGCTGAGGCAGGAGGATCATACGTTCAAGGCCAGCCTCAGCAACTTAGACCCTCAACAACTCAGCAAGACTCTGTCTCAAAATAAAAACCAAAAAGGGCTGGAGATGTGGTTCAGTGATAGAGTACCCCTCAATTTAATTCCTAGCACCACAAATAAATAAATAAAAATAAAGAAACCCAACCTGCTGAGGAGGTGACTGTCATCTGGGCTGATTTGATGACAGCCACATACAGACAGGTCAATAAAGCAGATTCCGCCTGTGGCACTATCCTGGGCCAAGCTGAGCTGGCTGCATCAAGACAGGAACAGGTCTGGCAGGGGGCATCTGGACAACTGGCCCCTCTACAGAGAGAAACACTAGCTTTCTTCCAGTGAGTCAGGTCATGGATGTTGCTACCGTAGAAAACCCAGAGCACCCTAGGACTCTGGAGTCAGGGTAAACACACCAGATTCTTAGAAAGGTAGGGGTGCCTTGCGGGGGGTAGCAGCAGATGTTAGTTCTGTCTCCTGAGCGGCAGAGCGCGAGGCCCTGCTGTGTCTGCCCTGGGCATGGCTCCGGGCCCCACTGAGAGTTCTTTTGGGCTCTAGGCAGGTGGTTGAAGCCTGTATGCCCACGTGGAGTTAGGACTTGGTCCCTCACTGCCAGGCACGGTTTGGTGGTTGCAAAAGCCATATTGGGTATCGTGCAGTGTCTTTGTAACACTTTACATTTCTCAAGAAGGGCTCCACAGAACCTGTGACATGAGTCACTACAAGTGATTTCTCTTTCCCTGGGCAGCTTGCTGTAGTTTTGGGACCATGAACATGCTTGGAAATAGTCCTCCTGCCTCCACAGGCTTTTCCGAGGAGGCAGGGTGGCCTGCCTGCCTCTGGTGGGCCCCACCATTCCACATGAAGATGTCGCCTCACATCTGACCCACGGATCTGTGAGCGGGTGGCTGGGCATGTTGAGTGACACCATGTCCCCCTGGCCCTGGCATGTACTCAAGAAGGGGATGTGCCCTGGTGCCTGTGGCATCTGGGTAGTTCAGGGTGTCCAGCGCCCAGGCCAGCCCCATCCCTCCCTGTCTGCTGAGCACGGAGTGGTGAGTGGCTCCACAGCACACACCACTGCCGGCTGAGGAGAGCAGAGGGAGGCCTGGGGCCCCTGCAGCCAGAGGCCTCCTCTCAGCAATGACCCATGCCCTCCTTTGCTATTTTCTCTCCAGGGAGATGATGGGCCAGATGTACGTGGAGGATCTGGAGACATCTTACTGGTGCATGCTACTGAGACAGACAGGAAAGGTACGGTAGCCTCTTGCTGGATACAGCAGGCCCTGTCACAGTGGGGGTTGCAGGTCCCCCGTGCACTCGTCATTCAGTAGATCTGAGTGAGCACTGGCACTGCTGGGGCAGGGGAGGGGACGCACACAACAGCACTCAGCCCACCAAGTGTCCTCCCTCAGGGCAGCATGGTGGTGTCCTAGAGCCTACAAGGGTGTCCTGAGGGTCAGGATAGTTGCCGCACCTAGCGTGTGCCCCACAGACCACAGCTTGGGCAGTAGCATGTGGAACAGTGGCATTAGAGTCAAGATGGCACTTGCACGGCTCGCTGTCTTCATGGACGTGAGCCCTTCCAGCCTTCCAGCTAGGCCGCGGCTCATGTGCCCACCGGGATGCTCTGGGAGCAGGTTGTGCTCTGCTCAGGAGCCCTGGCTCACAGCCGGGCTCCCCCAGCACAGGCCCAGCCCAGCCCCAATACCCTTCCACTACCTACTTGTTCGGGAGGGCTGCAGAAGCAGGGACTGACCCTCTATCTCCAGAATGTCCTGCTGCAGAAGGGCTGTCCTTCCAGGTCTGCTCTGGAAGGCAGAAAAAGGAGGGCCTGGGAGGCTGGCCCACATGGTTCCTGGCCCAGGGCCCCAGCTGGCCCGTGTCTCCTGCACTCCTTTTCTATTTATATTTTTTAAAATTATTAAAAGGACAATATAACAACATTGGAGAGGGAATAAAAAACACCCCAGTCTTGAAACCCTAACCCAACCAACTTTGTTTTTATAAATGGCCCCATCTGTATTTTTACAGAATAATTATTGGGGAAACCTCTGAATCATGAAAATAATATTAAAAAAAAAAAAAAGAAAAAAGGTTTACCTGGCAGAAATTTTGAGAAATTGGGAAAAAGAAGAGTGGCTTCCAACCAGCTCACCTGCACCACAGCCACTGCTTTGCCCTCCAGCACTTCTTCTGACCATGGTCCAGGGACTTGGAGTCCCAGCCCCGTTGTAGGCTGGGTGGCCTCTGGGCAGCTGCTGGTCAGTCCTCCCTCTCCAGCCTCTGCAGGTAGCTCTGTGGGGCGTGTGTAGCTGAAGCTAGTACAGGCCTGCTACTCGCCACCGTCTCCAAGGACAACCCTTATGTGGCTTTGGTGCTGTAGACCCTTCTCCATGCCAGACACATTAGAGTTCTGTCCTCAGTCCCACAAAAGGGGCAGTTTTCGTGTTGTTTTTGTCCAGAGGTGAAGGGCTGAAATGGGAGCTGATTCTGGTCCTGTCCCTGGACGGTGATCTCCCTGTCCCACCAGCTGCAGCCAGCTGGAAGCCCCGCCAGAGGGCACCATGGGCAAGAGCCCAAGATCCTCTCAGTCTAGGACAGCCAGACCTGCTGGGGGAGATGACTGCTTCAGCTGGAGCTTCCACCCACTTGTACTGGGGGAGGATCTGGACTTGGAAGAGCCAAGGTTGTTTATGTCTGGGAGTATGATTGGGACAGAGGCCACACTGGGAAGAGCAGGGCCACAGGGCAGGTAATGATGCAGTCTCCTTGGCTAAGAGCCCCTGTCCCAGTGGCACCAGTGACTGCCTCAGAGGCAGCTGGGCCCCAGCCTGTGCCAAGAGGGACTCGCCGGGAAGAGAAAGGCAAGGAGACCCTTGTCATCACTTGGCCCTTTACTCAGGAGAGGGTCGGGTCAGGCTTGGTCTCAGACTCCAGATCCTGTCCATCCTCAGGAACCACGTGTGCCAGACCTGTTGCTTAGCCCTCAGGCTTCCTCAGGAGAACACAAGGGACAAAGGGACCCCGAAAAAGCCGTGTGCACACTGGGGAGTGGCACAGAGCTGCTTGTCCCAGAAGCTAGATGACACCCCATTTACCACTGCCCAAGGCCAGCAGATGGCTAGCAGCTCTGGAGCTGGGCACCTGGATACAAGCCTCACCACACTATTTATGGTGCCGTGACCTCAGGCCCAGTTCTTTGTCTCCTAAGTGGAGTAATAAATAACCCCCTTGTGGGGCTGCTCTGGGTGTTGAAGGACGTGGTGCGTGTACAGAGCATGGCCCAGTGCTCAGCAGCAGGTCCTGGGACATGCCTCACAAGAGGCCACCTTGGCTCCTGGCAGTGGTCCTCCCCCACAGTGCCGTGTGGGCTTGGATCGGTTCTCTCAGAAACGGCATTGGTGTGGCTGCCCCATCTCTGCTTCACGCCCAGCCACTCTGAACACAAAGCCAAATGTGGCAGTGAGCCAGGTAGGTTGGGTCCAGGGAGGAGCCTAAGCACGGTGCAGGGGACTGGACCACAAGGCCTCGACGCAGGAGCAGGCGAGAGTTTTCCTCCCTGTCTGGCCTCAAGGGTGGCAGGGCAAAGTGCCACATGCCTGTGACAAGTGGAATGCCTCAAGATTCCTGCTTCCAGAAAGCACAGGATGCCTGTAAGAAGGTGTTAGAAGCTGGTTTGCCCAGAAAGCAAAACTCAAGTAGTGCTTGAGGGTCGTGGGCTGGGAACGAGCCAGGCCTCCTTAACTGCTCTGGCTCGGCTCTGCTCCGTAGGCCGGAGCCTGGCCAGCTCCTTTGTCTCATTTAAGAATTTAAAAACTGCCCTCAATTTTCTTTAATGTCAGAGACAGCATGGTTGGAGGATGAGTCACACAGCACACAAATGAGACTGTGGGGACTCTAGAGTGTCTGAAGTCCCTGGCTGGGACCAGCACCACTTAAGGAGGGACAGAGGGGTGGGCACTGTCTGCCCAGGTCCCCCAGCCACTGGGTCTGTGCTCCTTGTAGCTGACCTTGCCTTTCCCAGGCAACTGAGCATGCCCACTGGTATATCTCAGCAAACTGCTAAGCTGTGCCTCTTTAGCTGCCTTGAAGACTCGGTACATGGACTTTCCCCGGATTTTTAATTACTAGACCCTGCCATCTCCGTACTGCCTCTGACTTACCTTAAAGATCCTGCTGACAAGTTTGGACTGTTTTCTCCCTGACCATGGTTGTTAAGACTTGGAGTCCTTGAACCTGAGGGCAGACAAGCCCTCCAGTGCTAACCCAGGGTTACATCTTGGAGCCGCGTCTCCAGGCTCTGCCCCTTGCCAGGGAAGGCATGACTAACTGATTGAAACTGGGACCAGACTTGGCCTCAGACCCCACTGCACCATGATTGCCCAGACAGCTCTGTCATTAGAAGATGGTGCTTGCGAAATGAAACACAGGTCCACTGGTCTCTCCTGAGAGTTGGACAGAGTGTGGGTGGCTTCCTCTGGGACACAGGCAGACTCACCTATATCCCCAAGCCCTCAGTTCCCCCTGCACTCTAACTGAGCTGCTCCCTTACTCCCGGCAGATCTGGTGCTGTACTGCGAAGCCTTCCTGACCACCTACAGGACCTTTATCAGCCCTGAGGAGCTTATCAAGAAACTGCAGTACCGATATCCTTTCCAGCGCCACCAGCATGGGGACACAGGCTCTCGCAGCTTCAGTGGCTTCCCCCTCCCATTACTCACCCATAAAGGGCCAAGGGAAATGACATGGAATGCTGGAACGTAGTGGGATCACTGGGTACTTCTGAAAAAGAGCACACCTGGGAGAGAAGGGGGCCGGGGCAAGAGCATAGCCTACAGGGCATCAGGCAGGGTGGGCACCAGTGAACAGGGCTTGAGGAAGTGAGAGGGTGGCTCAAGGGTATGCACAGCCCCTTCCGCCCACAGTGGGCAGCTCTGCCCCATCCAGAGCTGGCATCAGCTCTGTCCCCTCTACCAGATCTGCCTGTGGGCTCACCCTTGGGAAGTAGTAGTGGCCAAGGAAGACCCCAGGGGCTTAAAGGACCTGCTGTGGTTGCCTGTTGCCTCTTTGTCAAACCCCAGCTGCCTGTCCTGCCAGGCTAGCCCACTGCTCTCTGGCTACCTCCCTGCATTGTAGCCTGTGACTGCCATCTGCTGGGCAGCTGCTGTCCCTCTGGGCAAGAAGTCCTGAGTTCTTTTCCAGTGTCAGAGTCCCCTCCAGGCCTCCCCTCACCCTGACCCTGCGAACCCCTGGTCCATCAAGATAGATGTTGACGTTTCCCATGGTGTATCGGGGGTCCTCTTCAGCCTCATGTTCTGGTGCTCTGAGCCCCTGGTGGCAGGCCTGGCCAGGGAAAAGAGTCACCTGCTGGTCAGACATGCACTCACGGGTGCTGCGTTGGCAGGTGTGGCCGCCCGGCAGCACCATACCACTGGTGCTGCTGTGTCACTCCTGTGATGCACTTGAGGACGCTGAGGCGCAGTGGGTCAGAGTGACTGTCCCACATGACTGCCTGGTGCAGAGGGTGCTCAGGTTCTCAGGGGATGTCCCTCGGCTCCCCTAGGGATGCTCCTGGAAGCCTCGCAGCAGCAGCAGCGGGAGCATGGCTGCCCAGCCCACAGCTGGGGCAGGCTGACAGTCCACCTGGGTGCCAGACACATAGCATGTATCCCCAGTCGTGGAGTACGGGGGGAGCACAAAAGCAGCAGGAAAGCATAACCTCCAAGGCAGATGCTGGCTTCAGGAGACCTGTGAGGGAGGAATGGGAACCAAGGGTGCCGTGGACCGAGGAGCAAACGGGGAGTGTGCTGTCCTGGGGAGCAGGAACTGGCCCAGCATGTCAGAGGTGATAGCTCCCCAGAGTGTCCAAGCCAAAGCAGGGGGACCACCTCAGGGTGGCAGCTCATGGAGAGAGCAGAGGACCTCTGCCCGGTCAGGGGCCTGAGATCTTGAGTGTGCTTGGTTGGGGACCACCTTCTTGAGGCTCAGCACTACAGCCTTCACGCTGTCAGTGCTCTCCCAGAAGCCTCAGGTTGAATCAGAAGGCAAGCCGGGGTGGCACAGAAGGGATGGCCCTGCAGACCAGAGAGGATGGCTGTTGAGAACCACCCCTGGGGTGGAGGCCTGGGCAGCACTGCCATTCTGCATAAGTGCAAGCCTTTGCTCCCTGTGCTGGGACCATGACTCCCAGTCTCGAGGCTTCAGTCACGAGGTCCCTGGTGCATGCTGAGTGGGAGCTCCGTGTCTACTCAGCACATCACCTTTGCCATGTGGGCTATTTCTTTAACCCTTCTTCACCTATGAGAAATTCTCTCCCTTCGCCGACACATTCAAGAAGCGCGTCAGCAAGAACACGTTCTTCGTGCTGGTGCGGGTGGTGGATGAGCTCTGGTGAGTGCTTTGTTCTTGGCCCAGAGGCAGGTGGCACGGGCTGCCTGCACCCCGTGGAGACTGCTCAGCCCACCCCGGCCACCTGAAGAGCACTACCCACAGGCTCTGGATTTGGCTGTAGCCTACTTTATTGTGACTCTCTGAAAGGAATGACCTGTCCCTTATAGGACACAATGAGGTATTAGGTCCTATCTTTCCTAATGGGCTCCATCCCTCAGGAGAGACCCTGTCCCACCTGGCACCATCCCTCCCTCCAACGTCTTAGGATCAGCCTGTGTTGGCTGTACTCTCAGCAGTAGGGGGCTTGGTAGAGGCTAGGGCAGTGGAGTGGGCAGCCTCTCCCACCCACCTCAGCCTTTCCACTGGGATCTGGGATCTATGGTGACCCCTGGCCATTTCCATATTCTACAAGTATGCCTTGGGGTTGGAGGTGAACAAGACAGACCAAGGCCTGGCTCCAGCATCAACGGGCAGTGGCCACACATCCAGGGAAGGGCCAGGCAGAGGAGGTGAGGGATGTCTTCCTGGTGTCTACTGCTTGGGTGAGACCAGAAGCTCCTGTGGCAGGTTGGTGTAGGGTCTCTAACACAGCCCCACAGAGTCCCCACACAGTGCATGCAGCGCCAGCATGTATTGAGTGACAGTCAGGGAAATGTTGTCAGGACCATGACACCCAGAGCTGTGGAGGATGTGGGTGCCCCGAGGTCCTTTCTCACTCTTCCATGGGAGGCTCCAGCTCTGCGCTAACACTCCTGTATCTGAGGTGTAGCTGGTGGGCTCTTGTGTGCCTGGCCTTCACCCTGTGCCCTTGGCCCATAGCCTGGTGGAGCTGACAGAGGAGATCCTGAAGCTGCTGATGGAGCTGGTCTTCCGCCTGGTGTGCAATGGGGAGCTCAGCCTGGCTCGCGTGCTCCGGAAGAACATCCTAGACAAGGTGGACCAGAAGAGGCTGCTCAGGTGTGCCAACTCCGACCAGCCCCTGGCAGCCCGGGGTGTTGCAGCCAGGTGAGCAGTCAGCCTCTCAGCCCCTCTGGAAAGCTGCACCCCTTAGCCACCTCTGTTCCGCTGTCCTCCCCGGCTGCACGGCCTCACGTCCTGCTTCTGCCCAGGCCCTGTGACGAGGTGCCTTGGGAACAGCCTCTGGCTCCCTGTGGGGGGCCTCCTCTGCTAGGGGAATTGGGGTGGCGAGTCACTGGTAACAAGGAAGTGGATCAGTGGGTCAGCGGGGCTGAGCAGGACAGGAGGGGAGTGGGTGTGCACCAGGCTGCTGTCAGCGCAGGGCTTTCTCCTAGCACCATCCAGACCCTTCCCAAGACTGGTACAAAGGTCCCAGGCTGGGGCTGGGGTTGTGGCTCAGTGGTAGAGTGCTTGCTTAGCATGTGTGAAGCACTGGGTTCAATTCTCAGCACTGCATATAAATAAATTAAAAAATAAAGGTCCATGGTCAACCAAAAAAATATATATATATTCAAAAAAAAAAAAAAAGGTCCCAGGCTTCTGCCTACCCTCTGCCCTAGCCTGAGGGTGAGTGTTAGTTCCAGCTGTGGGCACTGGCTGGTTGGCCACCCTCTCCTTCGTGAGCGTTAGCCTCCCCCATTCCCACAGCCAGCTCTTATTGCTGACCGCCTAGGAGTGGTGGCCAGTGGTGAGCAAGGCCTTAGGCATCTGAGTCACCCATAATCCCATGGGGGGAACTCATTGTCCTATTCTGGAATCTGTGGACGACCTGCAGAGATGGCGTAGGCAGGCCTCTTGGGGACATCTCATGGCCCTGAGGGACCAAGGAGCAATTTGGAGTCTGTTGCCACCCTGCTGTCCTGATGTGGAGTGAGGCTTGGATAGCTGCTCCCTCCCTAGCCCTGGAGCCTGCAGTGCCACTCCTGCCCAGCCTCCACGCCCAACAGTGCTTCTTATGCCTCTGTCTTCCAGGCCAGGGACCTTGCATGACTTTCACAGTCATGAAATAGCCGAGCAGCTGACACTGTTGGATGCTGAGCTCTTCTATAAAATAGAGGTAGGTGTCGGGGGAGCTGCTGCTGGTTTGTCTCTGAATGAGAGACAGCACAAGGCCAGGCACGGGGCATACGCCTACAATCCCAATGGCTCGGGAGGCTGAGGAGCCAGCCTCATCAAAAGCAAAGCCCTGAGCAGCTCAGTGAGACCCTGTCTCTAAGTAAAATACAAAACAGGGCTGGGGATGTGGCTCAGTGGTCATGTGCCCCTGAGTTCAATCCTCAGCAACTGCCCCCCCAACCCAAAAAAAGAGAGCACCAGGCACAGGAAAGCCAGAGGGCTCCAGTGCTGTCTGCTCTGTTTCCTTCTGTAGATTCCTGAGGTTTTACTTTGGGCAAAAGAACAGAATGAGGAGAAGAGCCCTAACCTGACCCAGTTCACAGAGCATTTCAACAACATGTCCTACTGGTAAGAAAGCCTCTGCGCCAAGCTCGCCAGTCTGGCAGCACCACTGGACAAATTCAGTCTCCCACGAGAGCTGGCAGGGTGGGGGCTGCTGCCGTCCTTCCTCCAGGCTCCTCTGGAGGCCCTGTGGGCACTAACCTCAAGCCCTGGGGAGCAGAGAAGGCAAGGATAGGCTGGTCACCTGCCCTCCAGAGGCACAGAGGAGGCACAGAAGCTCTGTAGGAAGAGTGCCAGGGTCTTGAGTGATACTTGCCCTCAATGGCAGAAGGGAACAGGCATCGCGTTTGCTGTCCTGCCCTGGTCATTACCACAGTCCCCCAGATGTCCTGGTGCAGGTGCCCTTTTATAGGACAGAGGAGGTAATGCAGTGGCTAGCACGTCCTCGGATAGCCCTGGAAACAGGCCCACATGATCCATAGGATGTGGACGCCACCACAGACCCCTGAGACACAGCCATGACGGCTTTTGGTGTTGGTTTCAGTTCTAGCTTTAGCTTTTGTTGGGGCTAAGATTCTGAGAGGTTCCCTTCCTTGTGGCTAGCAAGAGTGACCTGCTGACTTGGGGTTGGCTGGATTCCCTGGCCAGTCCTGAGGCCCCAGGGGTTCAGGTCAGTACAAGCCAGGAAAGTGCGCTGCTCCCCCAGGTCTAGCGCAGGAGCTGAACTCCCTGTCAGTGAGCATCTGGCCCCGACCCCTGAGATGTCCTGAGCCACTTGAGGCCAGGTTCATGACTGCCGGTACAGTGTCACCCTGTCTGGCTCCACCTGGTCTGCCAGGACCTACAGGAGCCCCGTCAGCTCAGCTGCTCTGCTCTGTCCATTGCTCCCACAGGGTCCGGTCCATAATCATGTTACAGGAAAAAGCCCAGGACAGGGAGCGGCTGCTCTTAAAGTTCATCAAGATCATGAAGGTAACGGTGGCTGAGCCCAGAGCCCCCTTCAGGCCTGCTGGCCCTGGGCCTCCCCTCACAGGCCACCTCTCTCCACAGCACCTGCGGAAGCTGAATAACTTCAACTCCTACCTGGCCATCCTCTCAGCGCTGGATTCGGCGCCCATCCGTCGGCTGGAGTGGCAGAAGCAGACCTCAGAGGTGGGTGGGCAGGAAGCATGTGGTGGGTAGGCCAGGCCAGCCACCTGTGACTGCAGTGCTCAGGACTAGACAGGAGCTCAGCCCCTGCTCTGCTGCCAACCTGTAGCTAGGCAGCTACCTTCCCCACCTGTTTCCTGTCTCTGGTCTCTGGCCTCTGGTTCCTGGGCCTTCGTAGTTGACATGGGGTGTCACATCCTGCCTGCACTGCAAGCCTGCACCTGGGTCCCAGCTTCTGGAAGGGCTGCTGGGCGGGGTGCACCCTCAGGGCAAGCGCTGGAGGGAAAGGGAGGATGTCACCCACTCACCCCAAGGGATGTTTCCCACAAAATGGCCTCGGGCCTCCCTGCCACCCGGGTTTGTTAGACATACAGGTAAAAGGGCTCACGTCCCCACAGAGACCAGATGTGGCTTCTCTTTCCACACTCACTAACCCACCTCTCATCCCGCACAGGGCCTGGCTGAGTACTGCACTCTGATTGACAGCTCATCCTCCTTCCGAGCCTACCGGGCGGCCCTCTCAGAGGTGGAGCCCCCCTGCATCCCATACCTGTGAGTGCTGGCCTCCCCTCAGCCTGTGTGGGCTTGCCTCTTCACTTCTCTGTGAAGACATGTTGGGCTCCTTGAGGAGATGAGGGCCCATCAGCCTTGTTGTTCCTCTGTTTTATCATGAAATTCTAAAGTGAAGAATGCCTCTTGAGCTACAGTTGCCACAGAAGGGAAAAGGTCAGGTGACAAGTGTGAGCTCCCCTGCCCCCCACCAGGGGGCCTCATGCACCTTCCGGGGGCCTCAAGCATATTAGGACAGCCCAAGGACCAGTCACCCCAGAAACCTGGGGAGCATTTGGAGTCATGTTCAGAAATCAACTTCCCAGCCCAGCCATGGGAGCGTAAATCTGAGAGCGTAATTAGGAGAGGGAAGTGGACTCAAAGCTGCACAGGCCTCTGTCGCGGGACTCCTTGGGCCTCCTCATGTACTAGAGGATGTTAGGAATCTCTGAAAGGGTCCGAGACCCAGCAGTATTCCAGGCCTGGGGGGTGAAGGAGCATCCTGGAGCCTCTGCCCTCAGAGCTTGCAGCCAGGACCCTCTCCCTGCATCTGGTCCTTCTGCCCTCACCCAGCACCCACACAGGTGCTCACAAGCACACAGGCCTGGGTCCTCTGGCTGAGCTCTCTCTGGACAGAGGAACTGCCCTCGCCTTCCACCTCCTCTTGAGAAGTACCTGTTACACCTGTTAATGAAGGGGTCTCTGTGCCCCTCAGTTTTGGTCTGGTTTGGTTGTATTGTTCGTTGAATGACCTCACATTGGCAGTCCATAGCTGTGCCCATACACAGGGTGGCTGCACCTGTCATAGACAACACTCCAGGCATACACAGCACTGTGCTTAGGCTCCCCAACACCCGAGCCAACTTCTGAGGATCCCATAAGTGGTCACAGGTCCAGAGTTCACGAGGCAGGAGCTCACCCTGGAGGAAACAAACCCCCTAGTCCTGCTCTTTGGTGTGCCCTGGGCTTGGCAGATACTTGGCATACCTGAGGCTGTTCTTCCCACACTGGCTGGTCCTGGTAGTGCAACCCACTCACAGCCGACCAGCTGCTCTCCGAGTAACGACTTCTCGGTGTGTCCCCCAGGGGTCTGATCCTGCAGGACCTGACCTTTGTCCACCTGGGGAACCCGGACTACATCGATGGCAAAGTGAACTTTTCCAAACGGTGGCAGCAGTTCAACATCCTCGACAGCATGCGGTGCTTCCAGCAGGCGTGAGTACTGTGACCTGTGGGACTACAGGGCAGAGGGCCTGGCCACAGGGAAGCCAGGGCCTCTGTCTTTTAAGTGGGGATACCATACCTGCCCCTCAGGTCTTGTCAGTCCAGTTTGGAGACATCCACATGAAGGGCCCAGCTCCATGCTGCACCCTGGGCCTGGATGGGAGGCAGCAGCCAGCCTCTGTTCCTGTGTCCTGGGAAGCTGGCGCCCACCTTGGTGTACAGAGGAGGCGGGAAACCCTGACCAGCCTAACTCCAGGGCAGCAGACCCCACCTAGGACGGGCAGCCTGCCACAGAGGGCACCGTGGCCCAAGGGGCCATCCACCTGGGGCACCCTATGGGGAACCCTGCCACAGGGCATTGCCTGAGGGCTGAGAGCACAGCCTCAGCCCTGGTGGGGTCTCCAGTGCTGGCATCCTCTGTCTCGTTGGGTGGCAGTAGACCCTACCATTACAGCTTCTGCCGGGGAACTGGGGTGACCAGAGGTTATGGCCATCAGGCTCTTCATCCAACCCCTGCTCCTGACTGCCTCCCCTCCCCCACCAGGCATTACGACATCCGGAGAAACGACGACATTATAAACTTCTTCAATGACTTCAGTGACCACTTGGCCGAGGAGGCCCTATGGGAACTCTCTTTGAAAATTAAGCCCAGGAACATAACAAGGAGGAAAACAGATCGGGAAGAGAAGACCTAGGAGCCTTGCTTTGCGAGGAGAGTGCTCAAGGTTCTTGGAGCCTGAGGACCTGGGGCCTGCCCAGTGGGCTGCAGCGTCCCAGCCTCAGCCTGGCTCCGCTGTGCTGGGCAGCCCAGAGCCTGCCAGCAGCTTCCCGCCTCCCTCCCTGCGGCAGCCCCGGGGTCCAGTGGAGCCGGCAGGCGGGTCTCAGTGCTGATTTGTGAACCAGTGGTTCCCCCTCCTCACCCCCCCCCCCCGTTGGGTTTTTTTTTCCACTTTCACCTCCACTGTCCCCTCTCACCCTTCCCCGGACCCCTCCAGCCTGGGAGCAGCACAGAGAAGTCAGCAGCAGACCGCACCCCCACCCAGGGCCAGGACCCTTGAGTCTCCTGAAATGGCAGGCAGTGGAGGCTGAGGACCCTCTGGGCACACTGCCCTCCAGGACACCTGGGAGAGGGGAGGTGCAGCAGGGAACAGAGGGCCAGGGGCAGGCACCTCTTAACTTTCCATTCCCTGAGTTTCAATGTGGAGGGTGGAGTGAGTGTGGCTGGCCCAGGAGGTATGACAGGTGGCCTTCAGCAGCCCTGGGCTCAAGTCCTGGTTCTGGCCCAGGCCTGTCCTGCGTCCATGCCCCACAGGCTGCCCTGCTGGTCCTCGAGCACCTGTTTCCCCTTCAGCTCCCCAGCGCAGGCCCCCAGGCCCCTGCCCACATCATCCAGGCTCTGGGAGCAGGAGGACTTTGTCGTCACAGAAGCTGAGCAGGGGCGTGGCAGAGCTGAGCCAGTTGGGGCTGGGGGGAGGAGTTCCCGCTGTCCTGGGGAGAGGTGGGCAGCCCCCTCCGCACTTGCTGTGTGCCTTAAACTCCATCTCCTGTTCCTCCCTCCCCACAGGCTTCCCTCCTACTTTGTCCCACCCTGGGGTCCAGCAGGCTGCTACACAGTGCTCCCCGGGGTGCCGGCGGGAGAGGCCTGCTGCAGACATGTCCCCAGCTGCCCAGGAAAGCAGCCCCCAGGAAGGTGCCCGCCCCTTCCTTGTTGAGCCCCTGGCTGCTGCCAGGGCCCAGCAGGCAGGGTGCAGGTGGGAACCCCTGTGCCCCCCACACCCCGCCCATTCTGCATGATGCGCTCACTTCTCCCAAGAGTGGGCTTTGGTCAAGTGAGCACCAGATCTAACCGAGCTTCCCCAGCCCCGTTTCCACAGAACAAAAGGTAGAAAGCAACCACGTTGCTAAGTCCTTCGTGGATTTTAAGCAACTTTTATCAAGAAGAAAGTCGGGGCTGGCGTTTTTGTTTTTGTTTTGTTTTTTTTCCTCTTTTGTCTTTTATTTGTCCTGTAAATAGAGGGAGGAGGTCTGTGAAATATCACTGAGCGCCCTCTCTGGCAGCAGCCCTGCTGGCGGCTGGAACCTGTCACTTTATTATTTAAGGAGTGTGTGTGTGTGCAGTTGGGTTCCCTAGCAGTGTTGTGCGGGTTGGGTCCGGTTTATTCCCTCTCGGGTGAGTCCTTTCATTTCAGCCCCTGCCTCTTGCTGCCCATCCGTGTCCAGCCCTGAGTGCTGCTGTGTGTGTGTGGGGGGGGGGGGGGGCGTCTATGCACACAGGGCCCAGGGTGTGCTGACCAGAGTCCTCCCTGCCTTCTGAGAGCCCAGGAGTCTCCTAGCACAGGCCACTGCCAGTGCTGTGGCAGCGAAGCCCCAGCCCGCTCTGCCCACAGGACAGATTCCTGTCTGCAGCGGGCAGTCCACCCGTCCTGGTGAGAGCTGGGGGGTAGGGCCTGGGGGAGCCACTTCCTTAATTCAGAACAGACCCGCTGCCTGTCCCAGAGTGCCCAGGCCTCCCCTGCACTCCCTGCAGAAGTGCCCAGGCTGTGGACAGGCAGCACCAGAGGACAGGGCACCCTGGGGAGGACAGTGAGGTGCATGTGTACCTCATTGGCCGCCATGCTTCCCTCCCTCCTGCCTCTGGCTGTGGCCACACCCCAGCACTCAGGGCTGGGCCTAGTGCAGGCTGTTTCTTGGGGGGCCAGGGGGCATGGTGGGAATCGATCTTCACCAAAGGACATCAGCGAAGTGAATGGTCCAGTTCCCTGCGGGTGGGTGGAGCCAGGGAGAGGCAGACACATGGTGGCTGACCTGAGCCCTGCCTCAGAGCAGTCTCCTACCCTGGCTGCCCCACAACCTCCCTAATGTTACATTGTAATATACAGCCCCCCACTAACCCCTGATGGTGGCATCTTCCTGCAGACATTTCAAACATGTAACTTTTATATGAAAGAAAAATAAACAGGTGAAAGCTGTCTGATGGCCTCTGCACCAATGCTACGTGTGCAGCATTGGCACCCCACTGCCTCTCTGTGGCCTTGGATTGCTGGCAGGGTCCTGGGGGCTGAGGGCTCAGGTTGGTGGTCTCAGTGCCCAGACCTGCTGAGTGGGATGAATGGCACCGCTCCTTTCCAGAACGCTCCCCTCGGGTCTTTGCCCAAGAACTCTCCCATCCCAGGGTCCTGTGCAAAGGGACTTTTCTGCAGTGGAGTTCAGGGACACCAGTACCCTAAAGCTCTGTCTGCAAGTTGTCTTCTGCAGGCCTGTGTCTGCTCTGCACAAGCAGCCACGCGAGGGACAGCACAGCCTCTGTGCCTTCATGGGACCAAGCAAGGGGCTCCCTGGGCTCCAGGCGCCCTCTGCCCTGAGTTGGACTGTGTCTTCCCCACACAGAAGGAGGACATCCACCGACTCCCTTTCTTAGGCTGTGGTGTGGCTCAGTGGTAGAGCTGGCCAGCATGTGGGAGGCCCTGGGTTCCCTCCCTAGCACCACCAAAGAGAAAAGGAAACTCGTCTCCCTTTCTTTACTACCCTCCAGAGCCATGCCACATGCCAGCACCCCGCCCGCCCCCAGGTCCCCACCCCCAGCACCTTATACACAGGCCATGCACCTGAGTGGCGGCACGCAGGATGGCGGGAGCCTGCGGGAGCCCACAGGAGCCCTCTGGCACTGACCCAGGGCCTGTCTTGGCTTTGAGCCCATGGTGGCCTAAGGCCCAGGGATCTGTCCCTCTGCCTAGGATGCTGAGGCCGGTGGGGTCCAATCAGGGAAGAGGAGGGCATCTCCTCCAGAACCGCCTCAGGTGATCTCTCAGTCACTCTCAGCACCTCCCAGTACCTCCCAGGCCTGAGACTGGAAAACGGGGACAGGCATAGGAGCACTGCTGCAGCCCCAGGCAGCCACTCCTGCCACTTCCTCCCAAGCCGGGGAGCAGAGGTGGTCCCAGACCCGACAGGTGTCTTCCCCACGCCACACCTCACACAGGGTGTGTCTGGTCACCTCTGCTTTCCAGGCACACCAGGCCCCTTGCCTGTGATCTCAGGGTCATAGGCATGTGCCATCCTGGGCTGGGTGCTTATGGGCTACTTCCACACTTCCCTGCTCAGTAACCCAGGCACAGAAGTGGCAGAGTCCCGAGGGGAGGAGACTGGATGAGACCAGCCCTGGCTTAAGCCTAGCTGCACTTTACAAGGATGAAGAGTGGACAGGAGCCTCTGAGCACTGGGTGCAGGGTTGATGGTTTCAGAGCATGGCCCCCGCCCAACGCACCATGGAGCCGAACAAAGGACAAAACCGCACATAGCCACACTGCTGTGTGAGCAGCCAGCCAGCCACAGAACCACTCAGGAGAGAACTATGCTCCGTGCTGAGCACATACACAATACCTTTCCCCCAAATAATGCGGCATAGCAATTTACCCAGTATTTGCATTTCATTAGGCACTCTAAGTCATCTAGAGATGATTCGAAGTCCATGGGAAGGTTGCAAACACTATGCCACCTTGTATAAGGGACTTGAGCCTCTGAGGCTGCAGTGTCCTCTAGGGTCCTGGAGTAGTCTCCCACAGAACAGAGACTGATCACCTCTGAAGAGGACACTAAAATGTGACACCCAGGGCTGAAATGGAGCTCAGCGGCAGAGCGCAGGCCTAGCTGCACAAGGCCCTGGGTTTAAAAAAAAAAAAAAAAAGCAACTTCCATTCATATTTTTTAAAAAACCCTTAGCTATCTAGAAATTTAAAATCTTAAATCTGATAAAGGCTACCTTCCAAAATCCTTTGCAAGCATTATACTTAATGGTAAAATGTTCAAAGTGTTTCCTTTCAAATCAAACCTGATGGGGCATCCCACTGTCACCTTGCCTGCTGTTGGGCAGAAGACGCTACGCAGCCAACATAGAAAGGAAAAGTAGCCAAGAAACTAACAAGCTCCTAAAGGTGCTTTGCTGTACACCCAGACAAAACGCAGCATATTCCTGTACAACAACAAACAGAAACGCCATCCCTAAAAGACCACATTTATGTTAGCACCACAAGTCTGAAATTTCTAGGAATTAACCCAACAAAAGACATGTGAGACCTTTATAAGGAAAATAAGGCCTGGTGGGCACTGGTGCAGGCCGGCAATCCCAGCCACTCTGGAGGCTGAGGCAGGAGGATCAAAGCCTGCATCAGCAATTTAGCAAGGCCCTAAGTAACTCAGAGATCCCAAGATCCCGTCTCAAAGTTTTAAAAAACAAAAAGGACTGGGGATGTGGCTCAGTGATTAAGCACCCTGGATTCAATCCCTGGTACCAAAAAAAAAAAAAAAAGGAGTTTAGAGCTCACCTTGTTTGGGTCTGAGACCTTGAGGAACCACTGTGGCCTTCTCCGATGCAAGCTGGCTCCCAGTCATCTGGAGCCTTCTTAGAGTCTGGATAGCTAACCCCAGGCACCAACTGGAGGAGAATGACATCATCCTAGGCCTCAAGGTATTTAATTTTCCACATACAATAAAAACAACTAGGCACTGGGGAATGGGGGAGACACAAGAAGCAAGGTCCTAAAGACCTCAGAAACAACTGGTAGAATCAGAAGGCTTTGGAGCTATCACCTGCAGATAAGAAGGCACAGTGCTTACTGTGTTCCAGGAGTAAGATTGAGAATCATGGGGCTGGGGATGTGGCTCGGGTGGTAGCGTACTCGCCTGGCATGCGTGCGGCCCAGGTTCGATCCTCAGCACCACATACAAACAAAGATGTTGTGTCCACTGATAACTGAAAAATAAATATTAAAAAAAAATTAAAAAAAAAAAAAAGATTGAGAATCATGGCAAATAACAGAGACATAAACAGGACAAGTGGAAGTTCTAAACAAAAACATATGTTAAACTAGAGTCTGGCACAGTCCAAGCCTGTCATTCCAGGACCCAGGAGGCTGAGGCAGGAGAATCACAAATTTGAGGCCAGCCTCAGCAACTAAGCAAGACCCTAAGCAATTTAATGAGATCCTGTCTCAAAAAATAAAAGGGGCTGGGGATGAGAGTTAGTTGTTAAGCACCCCTGGGTTCAATCCCCAGTACAAAATTAAAAAAAAGTGTATAATTGCCAGCTATAAAGGATAAGAAATGGGGTAATGGGGCTGGGCCGGGGCTCAAGGTAGGCAGAGCACCCATCTAGCATGTGTGAGGCACTGGGTTTGATTCTCAGCACCACATAAAAAATAAAGAAAGAAAAGAAAGGTATTGTATCCATCTACAACTTAAAAAAAAAAAACTTTTTAGGGGCTGGGATGGTGGCTCAGCGGTAGAGTGCTCGCCCAGCACGGGTGGGACCCGGTTCGATCCTCAGCACCAAATAAAAATAAAGGCATTGTGTTGTGTACACCAAAAAATACATTTAAAAAAAAAAGACTTTTTAAATAAAAAATTTTTAAAAAGAAGTGGAGTAATAAAAACTAATCAAATAGAAGGCAAGAAAAGCAAGCAAAAGAGGTGGGAGAAAGCAAAAATCACTATTAAATAAATTATCCATTTGAAAGATAGGCTGTCAAACTGTATTTTTTAAATCCTACATGCCATTAACAAAATGTGTCTGTCTACAATTAAAGGTACAGAAAGGTTGAAAGTTACAGAAAAAGATGTATTCTGCACCACCACCCCCACAAAAAAATGGTTAGCATAGCTATATTAAAATCAGAAGAAGTTGACTTTAAGGTAAAAACATCACTAAAGTTACAAAGGGATACTATGAAACTACCCTTGACAGGGTTAATTAACAATGCCTCAATTTTTAGTATTTACTTAAGTACGAGGCCTGGAGTATCCCCAGCAGAAACTAACAGATCACAAGGAGCAGGGATGAATCTGTGAACCAGCAGGAAGTCTCAACACATGGCTCTTACAAACATTGATGAAATCTGATCTTGCACAACGCTTCCCTCTAAAGAAGGAAAGGAAAGGAGGAAAGTCTCACTTCTTGTGATGAGACCAACATAACCCTGATACCAAAATCACAAGGAAAATCACAGGCCAGTTTCTCTCTCCCACACAACAGCAGGAATCACAAACACCAGGAGCTAACTGGTCAGAGTGTTCCAGGAAGAAGGTGCCACATCACGAGCAAAACAAGTTTATCCCTCCAAAGGAAAGTCATTCTAACACATGAAAATCGGCAAGAGTTACCACACTAGCAGGATAGTCCTGCTAATGTTCTCAGAAGATACATGAAAATTATTTAATAAAATTCAATGTCCATGTATGATTTAAAAAAAAAAAAAAACACTCTTGGAAAACTAGGAATAGAAGTGCACTTCCTTAATCTAAAAATAAATAAATAAATAAAAACCTTACAAAGGTTAATGTTGAAACCCTTCCTTTTGAGACTGGGAGGAAGACTACGTGGTTCACAGTCAGCACCCCTGTTTTGCATTGTATTCGGTATCCTCACCAGTGCAATAAGGCAAGAAAAATAAACAGAAGGTGCAAGAATTTGAAAGGAAGACAAAAAACTCATTATATAGTTGATAATATTGTATAAGCAGAAAACACAAAGGAATTTATAGATAACTTATCCAAATTAAGAAATAAACTTGAAAAGGTTGCTGGATACTAAGTCAATAGTCAAAAATCAAATTTATAGGGCTGGAGTTGTAGCTCAGTGGTAGAGCCTTTGCCTAGCATGTGTGATATACTGGGTTCAATCCTCAACACCACAGAAAAAATAAATAATAAAATAAAGGTACTGTGCCTTTACAACTAAAAAAAATATTTTAAAAATTTCAAATTGGGGCTGGGGCTGTAGCTCAGTGGCAGAGCACTTGCCTAGCATTTGTGAGGCACTGGGGTCGATCCTCAGCACCACATACAAATAAAAAAATAAAATAAAGGCATTCTTTCTATCTATAACTACAAAAAAAAAATCAAATTTGGGCTGGGGCTTTAGCTCAGTGGTGGAGCACCCACCTCGTACATGTGAGGCACTGGGTTCGATCCTCAGCAACACATAAAAATTGTCTCCAACTACATCTAAAAAAATTTTTTTAAATAAAACTTAGGGACTGGGGTTGTGGCTCAGTGGTAGAGCGCTTGCCTCACATGTGTGAAGCACCAGGTTCAATTCTCAGCACCACATATAAATAGATAAGTGAATAAAATAAAGGTCCGTCAACACAAAAAAAATCAAATTTATTTCTGTAGAGTAGCAAGCAATCAAAGTAAAAGAAACGAAGGGAGAGAGGGAGGAAAGAAGAAAGGATTATATTCATAACAGCATCAAAAGTCAAATACCTGGGGATACTTATGAAACATGCTATATTTCCACACCAAAAACTAAAAAACTATTTGGAGAGAAATGCTTTTAAAGATCTAAATAAAAGAACTCAACATTTGTATTAGAAAACAGCATTGTAAAGATGTCAGTTATCCCCAGTTAATCCACAGATGTAAAGCAATCACAGCCCAAATCCCAACTCTGTGTGTAAGAGAGAAGGAAACTGACAAATCTAGAAGGTGTTCTAGGGCCTAGGGATTTAGCTCAGTGGTAGAGCACTTGACTCTAAGGCCGTGGGTTACATCCCCGCACTATCAAAAAAAAAAAGAGGATGGGGGAGAAGGAAGGACAGAGGAACCTCGTTAAAATTCAGATGATTTAAAATAGCCAACCCAGACATGGAGGCACATGCCTACAGTCCCAGCCACTGCAAAGGCTGAGGCAGGAGGATCACTTACGCCCCGGAGCTGGAGACGAAGCTGCAACATAGTGAGACTCCATCCCAAACAAAGCAACCACCCAAATAAAAAAAATGGCCAAGATAAAAAGACAGAGTGGGAGGGGACCTGACCTCCCAACATCAGGACTTACTATCAAGCCCCATAATGAAGGACGATAACGACTCAAGGAAAGACAGCAGACGCCTGGAATCTATTCCAGAGGAGAGACAGAGCTGAATGTGAAAATCAGCCAGTAAAGCTGCTGATCTAGAAGACCATAGAAGAGTATCTTCATGACCTATGAGTGTAGACATTTTTGTTAAGCCACAAAAACTCTAAGCATAAAGGAAAAGACAAGCTTGACTACCTTTAAAACAGAATTTTCACTGGGCAAGGTGGTGCACACCCGTGATCCCAATGGCTCAGGAGGCTGAAGCAGGGGGATTGTAAGTTCAAAACCAGCCTCAGCAACTTAGCGAGACCCTAAGCAACTCAGCAAGACCCTGTCTCGAAATTAAAAAATGAAAAAGGGCTGGGGATGTGGCTCAGTGGTTGAGAACCTCTGGGTTCAATCCCTGATACCAATAAATAAATAAAGAGTGAAAGGGAGCTACCAAATGAGAAAGGGACTTGCAGTCCTGCATCCAGAACACACAAAGAACTCCACACTGACGGGAGACGCCTGTGCGCACAAGACTTGAACAGGCGCAATGTAAAGAAGGTGTCCGAATGGTGGGCGAACAGAGAAGAGGCTCCGCTGGTTTCGTCATCAGAGAGGCTAAGGAAAACCACTGAAAGGCCAGGACCCTCCAGGAGAGCCAGAGGTAGGCGACGGCCAGATCCCAGCAGGAGGGGAGCCCAGAGACCCTGGAACTCCCATTCTCTGCTCCGATGCCCATGATGCAGACTTGGAACACAGCTCAGCAGCGTCCCCTGGGTCTGGATGTTAAGATGTTCACAACTAAGCTCAGAAAAGCCTTTTTTTTGTTGTTGTTTTTTAACCACTCCAGGCCCAAGCCCCTCTGGGTCACATTAGGGGGATTCTAGGACACACAAGTTTCCATGCCTGGAATCAGGATGCAACCAACTCAATCACAGTTTTTTCAGAGTTGCCCTCAACCTTTCAGATTTTCCCTAGCTGCCTCTCTCCTGTGGCACTCTTGTGTGGCTCATAACTATGCTACTGATAAAAACATGGCCCCCACATTGGACTGCAAGCTTCAAGTAAACACTTCAAGGCCACTTCTTCACTACTGTGAATCCCCAAACTTAAATTCCTGGGTCCAAAAGCCATGCATATTTTTTTCTGTTATTTTTGAATTACACAATGCACGAATGAATACATCCTGTTTTAAAACTCAGCAATATATTGCACAAGCCCTCCTAGGCATTCCCTCCACAAGAGCAGCCAGGATCAGCAGTTTGGAATTGCATCCTTCAGACCCTGTTCTTGCACTTACATGCATACGTACGTGCATAAATTACACACACACAACCAATGGTCATAATTAGTTAAAAGCATAAAACTTTTGCTGAAGCAGGAGGACAGCAAATTTGAGGTCAACCTAACAACTCTTGGGGACCCTGTCTCAAATTTTAAGAAAGGGCTGGGGATGCAGCTCAGTGGTAGAGCACTTACCTCGCATATGCAAGGCCCTGAGTTCCTCTTCAGCAACACACAAACACACACACACACACACACGGGAAAAATTTCAAATCCCACTCACATCCCATGTGTAAATGTATGTTATTAACAGATACCATGAGTCTGTTTTCCATAAAGCTTATGGCAGAACACACCTGCCAGTAACAGAGTGAGGTCAGCAGTCCCCTCCGACTCTGGGTGTATTCCGCCTCTTGCTTGTGCCCAGCCTAATGCACAACAATCACCCTCCTGGTTTGCCTCTGCAAGAAGCTCTCCCTTTCACGCTGTCCACCATGCTCCCCAGGAGACAACGCTTTCCTAAGCGCCCTCTTTTTGGGAGGGGGGGCAGGTTCCTGGATTGAACTCCAGGGCACACGACCGACCGGCCGGCCGACCGCTGAGCCACATCCCCAGACCTGTTTTGTGTTTTATTTGGAGACTGGGCCTCTTGCTTAGTGCTTTGCTGTTGGATTACTGTAGCTTTATGGAAGTGTTGATATCTGGTGAAGAAGCTCCTCTCAAACTTTTAAAAAATTACGAGCAAGTTTTGCATGTTTTTCTTGGATGACTGTTTAAATCCTTCTTTAGTCGTTGATGGTCCTTCATTTTATCTATTAATAAGCTGAGAATCAAAGCCAGTGGCTCCCACAGGCCAGGCCACCGCTGAGCCCGGGCCCAGCCCTTGTCTTCCATGTTCATTTTTGTCTTTTTAGTGAATTTTCTTGGGTTATTCTGCTTTGTGGTGCTGGGGATCTGTCCCAGGGCCTCTGTGAGCGGCAGCCCTCTCCCACTGGGCCAGCCCGTCTTTGTCACATGTTTAAAGCATGGCTTTCTTGTCAGAACGGCACTAACTCTACTTAATAAACGTTTCTATGATATTACACCTTCCTACCCTAGCCTTTTTTTTTGGTATTTTGGCGATTTTAATTATCAGATCCCAGACCTTTTTTGTTAAATTTATTCCTGAATTTTGCTGCTTTCATCATTACCATGAGTGGATCTTTATTTTATTAATTTATTTATTGGTACCAGGGATTGCGCTAAGTTGTTTAGGACCCCTCTAAATTGCCGAGGCTGGACTTGCATTTACAATCCTCCTGCCTCAGCCTCCAGAGCCACGGGAGCCTGGGATTACAGCAGCTGCACCAAGCATGACTGGAATTTTAAATGTCCACGTCTAACTGGTTGTTATTATTGACTTTATTTTGTTATTTTTATTTATTTTTGTGGGGGTACCAGAGATTGAACTCAGGGGAACTTGATCACTGAGCCACATCCCCAGCCCTATTTTGGTTTTATTTGGAGACAGGGTCTCACTGAGTTGCTTAGTGCCTCACTTTTGTTGAGGCTGGCTTTGAACTCGAGATCCTCCTGCCTCAGCCTCCCAAGCCGATGGGCCACTATTGACTTTTATAGCGTTACTTTGTATCCAACCACTTCACTGCACTTCACACCAGTTGTTCTTTCTTAGGGAAGCTGTAGTTTTCACGCCCTTTCACTTTCCCATTAGCTGGAGGGTGGTTGCCTCGCAGAGCCGCTAGAGGGCGTCCGCGCCGCGGCCCTGGCTCTCAAGCCTGGTGCCAGTTCCCCTCGCCCAGCCAGGAAGGCCTCAGAAAGGCAGGATTCCGGGTTCTGCCTGCTGAATCAGATTCTGCACTTTAACTAGATCCCCCAGAGGTCGGTAAGCACTTTGGACCAAGAAGCAGTGGTCTAGAAGGTTTCCCATTCCAACTGGGGAGTTCTGAGGACGGCTGGGGCTGTCGGATTCTATCAAGTACTTTTTCAGCAGCCACCTAAAAAAAAGGTTTCCTCCTCCTTTTTGTAACTATCATGCATTTGGGGGCTCCACTTCCCACCTCTGCACCAGCCCTGTGTCCCAGGACGCGAGGCCACCCCATAATCTCCAAGCTGCTCTTTCTCGCTTCCTCATTCCTGTCTCTCCAGGGTGGCGGGAGGCCAGGCTGCACTGGGCTGGCCTTGTGCCTCAGCTCCTGGTGGCAGGGCACACAGTGGCCGCTAAGAAAACCTCTGACTTAATCCGAGCTGCCATTCTCTTAGGGTTCAGCCTGGACACCCCGACTCCTCTGTCTGTGGATGGATTTTAATCTTGGAAAAAACAGGGGGTCATTCCAAGACCACAGCTAACGGGATCCAGGCACCTACAAGAGCACCTGTGTGCAGCTCTACAGCTGTCCGGGGGCAGCAGGGTGGCCTGATCAGGGCAGCCCTCCCCAAGTGGGGACCCAGCCAAGCCCCAAACACTGGGCAACACAGGTGGAGACAGGAGAGCAAGCAGAAAGCTCAGATGGGTGCAGCAGAAGCTGCAAGGCCCGCAGGGAGGGGGGGAGCCGTGACCTAGCTCCCCGGAGCTGCGCAGGCCACTGCTAGAGCTGTGTGCCAACAGAGTCCCAGAGAGTGGCAGGGCAGGGCAGGGAGCCAGAGCCCAGCAGTGGGCAGATGTTACTGCTTGTCCTGGGGGGGCCAGGGCAGCGTGAAGCTCCGCACAGGGCATCATTTTTGTTGACTGAAACTAGTAGCTTAAATTTCTGGGCATGGGCTCAGCGTGGCAGGCCCCGTCTCCTGGCCCGGTGCTGGGAGGAGGGCCCAGCCAGCCGGGGTGGGGAGGAGGTCTCCTCCCCACTCTCCCCGGGGAGTCCGCACTGGCAGCTCCATCACCCAGCTGGATGGAGGTAGGGGTGGCTGGAGGTGGCAGCGTCCTTCCAGATGGCTCTGAAGACAACATTGGTCCCTTTGATGGTCTCCTAGGGACAGGGGTGAGACCAGAGTGCCAGGAGGCCCCAGGAGGAGACACAGGGAGACAGGGCTCTGGCAGGTCCTGTCCCAGGGTAGGTCTGGTCTCTGAGGCCACCTTAGGTTAGGACACTGCCTGAGCCTCAGTGGGCACTGATGAGGGCTGAGGCCCAGCCACAGTCTGGAGGGCTGCAGAGCCCACCCTCTTCTTTGCCCTCTGTGGGCGACAGCTGGCCACAGGGGAGGGAGCAGTGTCCACAGAAGCAGGGCAGCCGGGCCCCTTATCCCTGGGACTCCTGGCATCCCCGCAGGAGCTGCAGCCTCAGGGGAGGTAGAGGGCCACCACAACATAGATGACCCAGCTGGTGGACACGAAGACCCCAAACAGCAAGCTGAAGAGCACGAGCGAGCGGGCCTTCCGCGAGGTCTCCTCGGCCTGGACGAGATCGCCCCTGCCCAGGGCTGTGCGGGTCTGCAAGACAGGACCGGAGCAGGGTGAGCGAGCCGGAGCCTCAGGCCTCCCCGCACCCCTGGGCTCAGGCCTGTTCTACAGACTGAAAACAGACACCCCAAGGAGGTCAGGGACCACAAGCCTGCAGAGATAGCCCGGTCCCTGCCACTCAGCAGCCCTCAGCCTCATCTCCCGCAACCTCACAGTGACCCAGGTGGGGTCCTCATGCCGCCACCCTGCACATGAGGAAAGGCTCTGGGTGGCAAAGTGACGTACTGGGCCTCCACCTCTGGGGTGGAGCCAGAATCAGGCAGGCCAGTGCCTCAGGGTCCCACCTCCGAGCTGTCCTGACAGCTGTCCTCTCCCTGCAGTCCTGGCTCGCTGATGACTGGGGCCAGACAGCAGAGCAAGGCCAGGGCTGTGACCAGGTCAGCCTGGAGCACTGGCCCCCAGGGGCTTGTCTCTACTGGAATGTCCCAGCGTTGGCATCACTGAATCCCCAGGGCCTCTTTGCAGGACATATGGTCAGCAATGTCACGAGGAAGGAGGGAAGACAGTGAGATGGAGGGCGGATGGGCAAGGTGATGGCCAGAGCCCAGAGGAAAGACGGTGGTGGGTGGAGGAATGGGGCTGGTGGGTGCAGAGGGTGTGTGGATGGACTGACGGATGGATGGATGGGTGGATGGATGGGTGTTAGCAGGTCATGGTGGGTGGCTGGAGGGGTAGGTGGGTAAACTGGGCAGCCAGATAGAAGGATAGATGGAGGTGGAGGGACAGAAGAGTGGACTTTACCACCTGTTAAAACACAAGCCACCACTGGGGGAACACCTTGGGCCTTATCAATCATTCACACCTTCATTGCGATTTGTATTCTTTGTTTCAAGACAGGGTCTCGTCAAGTTGCTGAAACTGGCTTCAAATTTGTGATCCTCCTCCCTCAGCCTCAGAAGCTGTTGGGATTACAGGCATGTGCCACCATGCCTGGCTTTTGAATTGTTTTAGCAGAATTTTCCAGAGTAGATCTTGAGCAGTGGGGGGCACAGACAGGACAGGGGAGGAGGTCCCCACACAAGACGACAACAGAGCAGAGATTCCCAATTCCCACCCCTCCTGAGAGATACACCAGAGGCCCTGTTGCTGGGAGAGGGGCCTGCAGACCTCCAAGGGGACTGACTGCAGGCTGCATGCAGGGAAGGGCTGGGCCCACCCCCACCTACCTCGTGGGAGTACACAATGGCGATCAGCCCAGTGAGAAGGCAGCAGAAGAGGGTCACCAGCACCGACTCCATCATGTAGTCCTTGGGCAGAGGCCTGTGCTCCACTGAGGGGGGGCCTGGCACAGCAGCCAGAGGGCTGTGGTACTGTGGAAGCAGGGCCACAGTGGTAAGGGAGGCCACCAAGCCCCAGACATGCTCCCAGCCTCCCCTCCACTGAGGACGGGTCCCTGAGGGGTGCAGTCAGGGACCTATCTGCCTCTCCTTCCTGCACCCTGGCCGCTCAGCCCCAGGGAGTCCTCTCGGCTCCCCTTCGCACACTGCCTGGTCCAGGCTGGGGCCACAGCCCCACGCCCCCACCGCAGCCCCAGCTCTCTCACTGGCAGCCCGGGCTGGGCTTTTCTTTAGGGAACTCTCCCGGGTGGGCCCCTGAGCCGGAGCCCCTGGGCGCTCACTGCGGGTGCCGCTTTCTTCCCTTCCCGGCCCTGGAGCCTGCACCTGGGCCTGCACCTGGCCCTTCCTCCCGGAGACTCCTATTCACCCCTCAGAGCCCAGCGCGCGGGCCCCTCCTGGGGAAGCCGGGCGCCTTCCGCGCTGCGGCCCTGGCCCGGCGCCCGGGTCGAGGGGCCGCGGGGGGCTGAGCGCGGGCGGCTCACCGCGGGGAAGGGGTAGGCGGCGGCGGGCGGCGGGAAGAGCGGGCCGGGCGGCGGGTAGAGCGCGGCGGGCGCGGGCTGGAGCAGCAGGGGCACCTGCGGGAAGGGCGGGTAGAGCGGCGGCGCGGCCTTGGGCTCGGGCGGCGCGTAGGGCGGGGGCTCGGCCTCGAAGCCGATGGGCGCCCCGCCGCCGGCCGCCGTGGGCCCCGGGCCGGCCGGGCGCTCGGGCTGCGCGGGGGCTGCGGGCGCGACCTGGGCATCCCCGGGGCCCGGCCCGCTCCCCGCCGCCGCCGCGCCCTCGCCGGGCCCGCCGTCCTCGGCCAGCAGCTGCGGGCGGCGCGGGAGCTGCGGGAGCGCAGGGCGCTCGGGGGGCGCGAGGCTCCGGGGCTCCTCCGGGGCTGGGGGCGCGGGGCCCCGCGGGTCCTCCGGGTCTGCGGGGCTGTCGCCCCCTTTCACTTCGGGACCTAGAAAGAAAGGAGGCTGTGAGCCCCAAGAGGCCACCGGGCCACTTGGGACTCTGCCCCTCACGCCCCCAAAACGCAGTCCCTCCGGGGGGACGAAGCAGACCCTGTCCCACCGTGGATGTGCCAAGCCCCGGTTCTCTCCGGCAGGGTCTTTACTCCAAGGGCAAGGAGCCTCTGAGCCCTGTCCCAGCTGCCAGGATCAGCCAGGGCCTCAGCTCCAAGACACCCACACCCCGCTGCGCACCCCCTCTGGAGTCTGGGCTTGGCCCTGTGGCGTCTGCGGGCAATGGGACACTGACAGCTTGCAATCAGGACCTTTAAACCGCATCTCCAGACGATCAGGGGAGGGATGGGGAGGGATGGGACCTTGGTAGTGGAGCATCGGAAAGGATGAAAACTTGGGGAGGGGTGGGATGGCCGCACAACATCGGGAATGTGCTTACAGGCCCTCTCTGTGCATTTAGAAATGGGGAAGGTGGTAAATCTCTCCAGCTGGCTACAACGAAGAGCTCCACACAAAATACAAAACCACCACCGGAGGGCACTGGAAAGTGAACAACTACAGGCAGATTGTGGAGTCCACGCTGAGAAGCAGCTTCAAGAGCAGAGTTTCAGTTTTCCAACTCTTTCCTTCCAAGCTCTGGCTCCAGCCCCAAAGTCACAGGATGGGACATGCAGCAGAAGGGGTGACTGAAACTTCAACAGATGACCTGTCATTCCAGCCAGAGGAGACAGGGAGGGCCCTTGCAGATGGAAAGAGCCAGAAAAGGGCATCTCCTACTCCTGTGTGGAGCTGGGTAACCAACCTGTTTGCTCAGGACTTTCTTAGATTTACCGGGGAACTCCTGATTCTGGGCAAAGTGGGATCCTCATCACTCCAGAAGGAAGCTCCCAAACCTGGGATTCACCCTGGCTGCGTGTGCAGGGGAGGAACCCAGATCTACATAATGACTAGAAACCCAGGAGCAAAACAGGCTGTGGAGTGAGCCAACCAGGTGACCGTGGCAACCATGCAAGCCAGCATTTCCAGAGCATTCTAAAGGCACCAAGAACCTGCCAGTGTAATATTCACCACATCCAGGGCAGATCCACGGTCATTTCCATATAAAATAGAATTAGGAAAATATGACTGATCCTCAAGGCAAAGATCATCAATAGACGCCAATTCTGAGATGACCAGAGATTGGACACCAGGACCTAGTGTCCAATATATATCCATCTGGGATAAGTTCTCAGCAGAAAATTCGAGTTTTGTGTTGTTGCCGTTGTTGTTGTTTAAAGAACCAAATGGAAATTTTGAACTAAAATTTCATAATTTCTGAAATTAAAAATGCATTGACTAGGGCTGGGGTTGTAGCTCAGTGGTAGAGCACCTGCCTTGTACGTGTGAGGCCCTGGGTTCCATCCTCGGCACCACATAAAAATGAATAAATAAAGATATTGTGTCCACCTACAACTAAATAAATATTTTTTAAAAAAAATGCATTGACTGGACATCAATAGAAGCCCTGAAGAAACAAACAGAGTCAATGAACTTCAAGACAGACCAATCAGAAGAAGCGGGGGGGGGAACTGAAAAAAGAATCAACAAAGACTTGGGGAGTGTGTGGTAATACCCACCAGGGCTAGTGTGCCCGGGAAAAAGTTCCAGAAGACATTTTAGGGAGAATATTTTTGAAGAAATAATGGTTGCAAAATCCCCAAATTTGGTGATAGATAAATATAAAGATTTAGGAAATCCAAAAAGGGACTCCGTGGGGAAATTACGCTTAGCTCCATCATGATTAAATTTCTCAGAATCAAAGATTATAACAAAGCCTTGAAAAAGGGCAGAGGATGCCAGGTCGTAGGCAGAGGAAGAACGAGAGAGCCCTGCACACATCTCCAGGAGACCACAGGGGTCAGAGGACAGTGGGTCAACCTGTGCTGAAAGGAAAGAGCCGCCAACACAGAACCTGATAGCTAAAGAAAAACCGGGCGCGGTGGCACACGCCTGCAATCCCAGCAGCACGGGAGGCTGAGGCAGGAGGATCTCAAGTTCAAAGCCAGCTTCAGCAAAAGTGAGGTCCTAAGCAACTCAGTGAGACCCTGTCTCTAAATAAAATACAAAACAGGGCTGGGATGTGGCTCAGTGGTTGGTGGTTGAGTGCCCCTGAGTTCAATCTCCAGTACCAAAAGAAAGAAAGAAAACACCCTCCAGGAAGAGGAATGCTTGAGCTTTCTGTTGCATAATAAACACATCACCACAAAAATAGTAGTTAAACAATACTAATACGAGATTAGTGTTTTATTTAACCAAGGGATGGGAATCTTGGGGGATCATCTTTGGAATTCTGCTTACTGCAAGTAAAACAAAGACAATTCTCAGATGAAAGAAAACTAAGAGACTTGCCATAAAAGAAAGAGCCAGGTGTGGTGGTGCACGCCTGTGACCCCAGCTGCTAGGGAGGCTGAGATGGGAGGATAGCAGATTCAAGGCCAGACTGGGCAACTTTGTGAGACCCTGCCTCAAAAGTAAAAAGGGCTTGAGGTGTAGCTTGGTGGCAGAGCACTTGCCTAGCATGCACAAGGCCCTGGGTTCTATCCCTGGTACCATCAAACAAACAAAAACACAGACCAGTATCCTTCATGAATAAAAAGAAAAAAATCCTTAATTAAATAGTTGCATGTCAAACGTTAAAAGGAATACATGGGCTGAGAATGTGGCTCTGTAGCCAGGTGTTTGGCTGGCATGTGTGAGGCCCTGGGTGTGATCCCCACCACCAACTCCTGCCCCAAATCACAAATAAACAGGACCATGCAAAATAGGTTTAACATTTAAAAATCAGTCAATATATTAGAAGAATAAAGAGAAAAAATATAGAATCATTTCAATGGATGAGAAAAAAGCATTTGGCAAAATCCAGTGCCCATTAGCAAAGATACACACATGAATTTTTTATCAATAAGAATAGTAAGAACATACTCAAATTGATAAGGGATATCCATGAAAGAAAACCTTTAAAGGTAAAAGACTGAATTCCTCCATCCTGCCCAAGATCAGAAACAAGGTAAGGATCACCATTTTCTGACTTCTATTTAACTTGTTCTGGTGTCTTGACCATAGCAATAAAGCAAGAAAAAAATGTATAAAGAAGTCTTACCACTCTATGATTCAAAGATCTCAATAAAAAAGTAGATGAAATACATGTAAACCCTTCACCAAAGAAGATATTTGAATGGTCAATAAGCATATAAAAAGATGCCATTGTCATTAAGGAAATACTACAAGAAGAGATCACCACACGCCCATTAGAATAGAGACATTATATGGGGTCTTTGTTGCCCAGGCTGGCCTTGAACTCCTGGGATCAACTTATCCTCCTGTCTCAGCCTCCAAAGTAGCTGGAAATATAGGCTTTCACTCCCATGCCCAATCCCAGTTAAATTTTTAAAACAACAAAACTGACCTTAGCGTATGTTGGGAAGGGTGTAAGATAACTGGAGCTCACACACAACTGCTGGTGGGTAAGTGAAACAGTATCACCAGTTTGAAAAAAACTTGACACTTCCTTCAAATGTTAAACATACCTCTACCATATGATCCAGCTATTCCACTCAAGATATTTATCCAAGGAAAACATATGACCACACAGATTTGCTCAGGAATGTTTATATCACCTCTCTTGGTAGTGTCTCCAAACTGGAAACAACACACATATCCATAAAAATGAATGGATAAGTCATTTGTGCTGTCTTCATACATCTGAAATGGACCCCAGTGATTCCAGTTTCATGGAACTGGTGCTCTTGGGGAACCCTCCCCCGGAATAGGGGCTGCATGCATGACTTGCTCATGAAGAGGACACAGCTAAAGACACAGGATATCCCTGCTAAGGGTAGGGGTCTTTGTTTTGTTTTGTTTTTGGTACTAGGGATTGAACTCAGGGGCACTTGACCACTGAGCCACATCCCCAATCCTGTTTTGCATATTATTTAGAGACAGGGTCTCACTGAGTTGCTTAGCACCTTGCTTTTGCTGGGGCTGGCTTTGAACTCTCCATCCTCCTGCCTCAGCCTCCGGAGCCACTGAGATTACAGGCCTGCACCACTGTGCCCATCTAGGAGTAGGATTTTAAAAGCCTGTGGCTCCTCCTCACTTGCTCTCCGTTCTTGCTTGGTGTTCCCTCTCTTTCTGTTTCTGGTAACTCCAAGAGGAAGTAAGGCTCTGTGAGAAGCCCCACGCAGAGGCCCATTTTGCATGGGCCCTCACTCCACAGCTCAGGAGGAGTCAAAACCTGCCAACACTCAGATGAAGGAGTTTGGAAGCAAAGCTTTCAGCTCCTCCTGAGTCTTGAGATGAGCACCAGTAGCTGGTGAGGAACTCAGAGGCCAGGTAGCTAGCTCAACTGTAGCCAGATCCTCACCTATAGAAACTCTCCAGTAAACACTGCTTATTGTTTTAAGCTTCAAATTTGGGAGTAACTTGTTATGCAACAACAGCTTACTGATACAACTTCTTAGCAATCAAATGGAAATGAACCCTTGCCACAACTTGGGTCTATCTCCAAATCATTATGTCAAGTAGTGAATCCAGCCAGGGGCACAGACCTGCAAGCCCGTAGTCCCAACTACTCAGGAGACTGAGGTAGGAGGATGGCAAATTTGAGGCCAGCCTCAGCAATTAAGTGAAATCCTGTCTCAAAATAAAAAATAAAGAAGTCTGGGAAGGGCTGGGTTGTGGCTCAGTGGTGGAGCATCTCCCTGGCATGTATGAGGTCCTGGATTTGATCCTCAGCACCGCATACAAATAAATAAAATAAAGATCCATTGACAACTAAAAAAATATTGCTAAAAGATGGGTTCTGGGGATGTGGCTCAGTATTAGGGCACTTGCCTAGTGTGTATGAAGCCCTGGATTTCATCCTCAGAACCACAAAATAAAAATAAAAATGCTTGCACATTGGGGCTTGACATCTTGTGTTGCTGGGAATCTGCGCCACAGCCAACCTTCCAGCGGGGCCAGGGAGGATAAGGTACCCCAGAGGATCACCTGTAAGGATAAGATACCTCAGAGATCCCCTGGCGATCCCCAGACCACCTGCCCAGGTGAGCTAGCCCTGACAAGCAGGTGTGGCACAGGAGTGAAATGCTCTGAGCCCTCGTGTCCCCATCTGTAAAGTAAGGATAACATTAATAGTGATTTTAAATACTATCAGTGGGGCTGGGGCTGGGGCTCAGTGGTAGAGTGTGGCCCCCATGTGTGAGGCCCTAGGCTCCATCCCCAGCACCAAGACAACCAAAATAACAGGGAACACAGACCAGGCTGCTCCAAGAGCTCCTCTCTGCTGTCCTCACCTGTGAGTGCTTCTGTTTTTATGATGCATTTTACAGTGGGGAGCTCAGGCTCCTAGCAAGAGCCTCAGCAAGTGAGATCCCTTCTGGGGTGTTGTCACAGGAATGTCGAGACCCTGCCCCAGTTATCATAACAGAAACCACAGTTTCCTTGGATCCCGCCAGGGCAAATACCTGGCCCGATGGCACCGAGATAGGGCCGCAAAGTAAATAAATCTGCGGGCAAGGCGGCTGGGCCGTGGTCTGGGGTTCTCAGGTTTTGGACACCTGAGCCTGGGACATTCCAGCCAGGAAGGGAGGCCTGGGCTACAGCCTGGGCTGCAGAACGGGGATGAAGTTAGGGTCTTGGAGAGACCGCCAGCCTTCGCTGCCACCCTCCCGGCAGCATCCCCTGGCTCAGGTGGCAGATGGGATCTGGGTGCACTCATCCCAGCTTCTGCAGGTCAGGTCAGCGGGCCGGAGGTGGCAGTGGAGGGCATCAGGGCTCCGCACCGTCCCGCCACCACCGAGGGCAGGTGTCTTGTTTCCCGGCTCGGCCCCTTCAGTGCTGGCCGAGGCGGAGCCCTTAGCCAGTGCCACCTTCCTCTGCCCGTCTTCTCCGGGCCTTCCATCCCCGCCTCCCACCTCTCTCGGTCTCTGCGGCAACTCGCCCGCGGGCTCTTCACCCGCATCTTCCTCCCTCTCTCTCTGTCCCCCTTGTCGGGGTCCCATTCCCCTGCTCTAGGACTTCAGCCTGGCCAGAGGCGTGAACAAGATCCCCAGATGCAGGACGCCACAGGGGACGCTGGGGCGGGTGGGGAAGGCCCCGGACGTGCGGGGGGAGGCCAGGCCAGAGTTCCCGAACTTTCCACGGAGCATCCCGGTGCCCCCCGTCCGGCCCTGGGCAGGGGTTCCGGGCGCCGGGCGCCCCCTCCTGCGCCCTCCCGCACCCACCGGGCGCCCCGCGCCCGCCGCGGCCCTCACCTGCGTCCATGGCGCGAGCGGCGTCCGGTGCGCGCGGGATGCGCTGCTCCCCGCCCGGCGCCTCCCGTCGGGCCGGCTCGGCTTGCGGCGCCGGCTCGGGTTTCCTGGTGCCGAGAGCGCGGCCGGTTAATAATTGACCGCCTTTGTTTGCCGACGGCTGTGTCAACACTTGGCTCCTTGCACCCCGCACCCGGCGCTCGGCCCCAACCTGCCTCGAGGCCCGAGAGCGCCGCGGCGGACCCCGCAGGGCGGCACCGTCTGCGCGGGGACTGCGCAGCGCTTTGCGGAGTGGGAGGGGCCGGGGTGCTGGGGAGGCCAGCGGCCCAGGCGATTGCCCCCATGAGGACTGGGGGAGGCCCCCAGGAGAGGGACGTCGGGGCTCCCCGGCCCACCCACCCAGCCAGAAGAAGGTAGAAAGGTGGATTTTCATGTGAAATTGGAGATTTAGAACTTTGTGCAGGAGACTTCCCCCCCGAAATGTACCCGACTGGGCACCTGAAGCAGATCCCAGTCCGATCACCTGGAAACACAAATAAACAACTCTCGCGCCATTTTTTTGCATCCATAGCTGGACGTGTAGGTATGGAGGGAAATCCCCAGGAGCCGAGAATGCAGAGGCAGCAAACAAAGATGGGCCCGGAAGCCATTGCGCCTCTCAGCGGTCTCAGAGGTCCAGGGCTTGCGGCTTACCCCAGGAGTGGACAGGAGATGGAACTCCGGGTCGGTGAGGCAGAGCGATAGGACCAGGAGAGGTGAACAGGAAGCAGAATCTGCCTGTGGCTTCAAGAGGTGTCAGGGAAGCTGGGTCTGGATGAAGACATAAAATGCCCCAGAAGACTTTTGCACCCGTGCACTGCATAAGGTGTTCACACTCAGCCTGCCCTCAGGCACAGGCCAGCCTAGAAACTTCTAGATGAAAAACCGATGTTAAAAATAAAAAGCAGGCCCAGGGGTGTAGCTCAGGATAGAGCCCTTGCTCAGCACATGCAGGGCCCAGAGTTCCATCTCCAACATCACAAAATAAAAAAGGCCTGAAGGTGGGAATCCAGGAAAGAGCTGTGGGATTTACTCAAAGCAAATGCAAAACTCCTCAGGCAGGACACAGCCCCATTGAAGCTGGGGAGATTTCCCATGGGAAAAGCACTCAGAGGTGAGTTCACAGTCCCCAATGGCAGAACCCACAGGGAACAGCCCACCATGAGGGAGAGACAACAGACCAGCACTGCAAGATTCAACTCTGGGTGAGTCAGGATCCAACCAGGAAAAACAGAACCCCCGTGGAGTGTTTAACACAAAGTTATTCACTGTAGGGAGCTGGCTTTACAGACAACGGAAGAGGCAAAGTTAATCAGAGGAGATTTAGCATGAAGACAAAGTTGATGTGACAGAGCAATACACTCAGGGCACAAGGTGGGTGAGGTCCACCCTGGGGGCTGGCAACAAGTGGGCAACCTTGGAAAAGAATTTAAAGGCAAGAGTCGCTCTGGTCTTAACTATGTGACAATAATTCTAAATAATGCCAGTGGCAAAATTCTCCACCCTGAAAAGAATCTTCTGATGGCCTACGTTCTGAATAATTCCTGTGGTTACTGCAGCTCACAGAAATCCTGTGGACAGGCTTCCACATTCCTGGCAGACTAGGAGAGTCCTCTCCCACGAACATCCCCCAGGGGAGAAGAGCAAGATGTAAAACTATCAGTGTTTCCTCCGTGAAAATCCCCAGCCAACTCCCACCGGCTCTCAGAAGCCCCACTACCTTTCTAGTCCTTCACGGGAACATCAGTGACCACTTACCACAGATCTGAAGAAGCAGATCACCTGGAGGAGACACAAACAAACAAATGGGGGAAGAGAAGCTTAGAGGGAATAAAGAATAAAGAAGAGTCAGGGAAAATAATATTTTAAAAAAGCACTGTTAAGGGCTGGGGATGTGGCTCAAGCGGTAGGGCGCTTGCCTGGCATGCGTGCGGCCCGGGTTCGATCCTCAGCACCACATACAAACAAAGATGTTGTGTCCGCCGAAAACTAAAGAAAAAAAAAAAAAGCACTGTTAAATATCCCAAGAAAAAGCCAAGTGGGTGGCACATGCTGTGGCTACTTGGGAGACTGAAGAAGATCCTAAGTTCAAGGCTAACCCAGACCTCTGAGCAAGATGTAGGGGGAATGGAATGTAACTCAGGAGTAAAGCACTCCTGGTTCAGTCTCTAGTGCTGCCAAGAAAAAAAGATCCAGAGATTAGAGAAGGCACTCATGAAACAAGAATAGAATGCTGTAAAAAAAAAAATTCATAAAACAAAAAGTTCTTGAGAATTAAGAATTTCACAGCAAAAATGAAACACAAAACTCAATAGAAAGTTGGGAGGTAGAGATAGAGAAAGTCTGCCAGAGGAAAAATATAAAAGTAAGGGGGAAAAAATTCCAGAGACAGTCCAGGACAACTCATCTCCGAGAAATATGAGTTCCACAAAGAATAAGGAATCACAGAGGGGAAGAAAACGTCAAATGAAGAATCCAAGAAAATTTTCCAGGACTGAATCTTCAGATGGACAGAGCTCACTAAGGGTCCAGCACACAGGAAATTGGCCACTCCAAAGGGATATGATTGTGAAATTCCAGAATATAAGGAACAAAGAAAATTTTTATGAATTTTCATTGGAAAAAAGTAAGTTTCAGGCACTGGAGTTGTGACTGGGTTTAATTCTCAGCACCACATACACATAAATAAAATAAAGGTCCATTAACAACTAAAAAATATTAAAAAAAAAAAAAAGTAAGTTTCAAGTGCTGGGGTTGTGGCTCCGGGTAGAGCTCTCGTCTAGCATGCTTGAGGCACTGGGTTCGATCCTCAGCACCACTTAAAAAAATAAAATAAAAAGGTATTGTGTCCACCTACAGCTAAAAAATAAATGTTAAAAAAAAGTGAGTTTCATACTCTGGACCAAGAATCAGAATGACACTGAATTTCTCAATAGGAACTTTGAAAACAAAAGAACAACAGACGAATGCTTCAAAATTCTGAGGAGAATGAATTTCTAATTGCAGTGGCCAGTTCCTTTTGAATATGGCAGAAATGACCCCAGATGACTTCTGTGGTCCAGTCTAAGATGTCATGGACTCAGGCTGGGCTGGGGCTCAGTGGCAGAGCGCTTACCTCGCATGATGCCCTGGGTTCCATCCTCAGCCCCAGATGAAAATAAATAAAATTAAGGTATTGTGCCCATCTACAATTAAAACAAATGTTTTAAAAAAGCCGTGAACTCTCACTCTAGGGAGTCCCCTCTTTCTACAACCATATTCTAATTAGTTCATAACAACACCATAGCAGTTGGTTTAAGGATGCCACCCAAACACTGCCCAATCCCAAACCCCACACCATCTCGAAGACATTCTAGAAAGTCAAGAAGCCGCTCATGGCAGCAGCGAGGCTGGACTGGTGGTTTTATATTTATACTTTCACTGTTGGTTAAATGTTTATGTGGAATGGACTTGATCTCGATGGCTCATTTTCCATTTGCTCCATTTGCACTCCTTGGTTGGTCAGATCCATGTGCAAATCTGCATTGTTTCAGATTTTGCTGGTCACCCTGGTTCTGGGCAGTGAAGGACAAACAGCCACTGGGGCTGGTAGACAAGCTGGGTTCCCTGAGGTTCCTGGTAGTGACGCCAGACCTTGGGGCTCAGCGTGACTTCCTCCACTGAAGCCCCCAGTAAGGGTGTGCCTGGCATCTGCCAGCACAGCACAGCGGGTGGCTGGTGCAGGGGCAGCCAGGAGGAGCTGTGGTTGGGCCTTCCTGCGCCATCACAGCTGGGGGCGGGTGGCTCAGCGTCTAGCAGTGCAGCCGGTTAGAGAGCCCAAGGCCCTCTTCGGGGAAGGGCGGTGGAAGACCTGACATGCTCTTTGGACCGGAGCTGCCAGGCTGCGAGGAGCCCAAGTTGTAGGAGAGGCCACTGTGAGCGTTTGGGGTGATGGCCACTGTGGGTAGCCTGGTGACAGCCCCAGCTGAATTCATAGGAGACATCACGAGCCAGCCATGCAAATGAGCCAGCACGGGCACACCAGTGCAATGGAGCCACAGGTCACCCCAGACCCAGCATCCATCTGGCTGCCACCAATGGAGCGGCCCCCAGAGAGCCACAGCCATGCCAATCAATGCCAGAACCACGAGAGAGAACAAGTGGCATTTTAAGCCATTAAGTATTGGAGTGCTTTGTTTTGTAACAACAGAGAATCAGAAAACCCACTGGAATTCTAGAGCCAAGCAAAAAGATCAACAGAGCATAAAATAAAGATAGAATATTCAAGATCTCAAAAGTTCCACCTCCCGTTGCCTTTCTCAGGAAGCATCACCCCAACGAGGAAGTAAGTAAGAGGGAGGAAGCCTTGGCACAGGCTACAGGAGAGAAGGCTCAGAAATACTGCCCAGAGACGAAGGCTGGGGGGGGGGGGGCCCGCAACCCCAGAGAACCCACCAGAATTAACATCAGCCTCCAAGTTGCACAGACAGATCCGGGCAGGCACCCAGCCCAGAAGACCCGCCCTGCGCATCTCACATCCCCGCTGCAAGTGGGTGGGGCCACCTCGCCCGAGGCCAGCCAGGTAGCAGTGAGTGAGGGCTCAGGGTGAAGGACCGAAGGAACCACTGTCAGCCCAGAGTGCCACGCCCAGCCACGCCTTTCTTAAAAATAAAATTTTTGCTTCAGTAATGGCACCCACCTGTAATCCCAGCTACTTAAGAGACTGAGGCAGGAGTATGAGTTTATGGCCTGTCTGGGCAACTTAGAAAGACTCTGTCTCAAAAATAAATAAATAGATAAGAATTTAAAAGATTAAAAAAAAAAACCCAAAAACTCTAGGGGCTGGGGCTGGGGCTCAGCGGTAAAGAACCTTGAATGCATATTACCAAGTGCAGGAGGCCATTCTGGAAAGCTTAAATGGCATGTGACCCCAACTATAGGACAAAACTGTGGAGACGGTAAGATCAGGGGTCAGCAGCGGGTCGGGAAGGGTCGGGAGGGAGGGAGGGGTGAAGACATGGAGCGCAGAGAAGTGACAAACATGATCTGAGCAACACTGTGCCGAGGTAGGTGCGTGGGTTGAGTGTAGCAGAGGACCTCTCTGGCGGTGCCGACAGGGGGCTGTGCACGCTGGGTTCCAAGGCGGCCTTCATCTACTGTTTTTTGAGACGGGTCCTTGCTATGCTGCTCAGACTGGCCTTGAACTCGAAATCCTCCTGCCGCACCCTCCTGGTAGCTGGGATCACAG